AAGGCGGGTTGACATTGTATATTGATATCCACGACTCGGGGAACTCGGGGACACCAGTACGAGGGTAAAAACCAGATGGTTTTGTAAAATTGACTGAAGATACTGGGAAGGTTGGCGTCTGGGATACGCAGGGCTGTTCGCTCTGTGCCGTATGTATTGTATATGAGCAAGGTTAGCACAGTAGTGGAGGGGCTGTCTCTCCTCCCCTGTGGCGGGTGGCGGGTGGCACAAGGCATGGCGGCAAATATCAACAGCAGCAGGTACAGGTAAGAATGCGAAGTCTAGGTAATTCTAGGATTCGGAAGACCTTTTTGTTTAGTTCTGGGCCCAGGCTCAAGCCCTGGACTGCTCAGCTGCAGCCAGTTGTCAGATCAAGATCCGCATCAATCATGTGCCATGACAATCAGAAAAAAGTAAAGGAGCCCCCCCCACATGGGCTTTGAGAAGGACGAATGGGAGGAGATTGAAATGATAAATATATATATATATATATATTTTTCAGATGCCCGTTCAATCGCCGGGACGCGGGGGAAATATGATTGATAATTTTTTGAGATATTTCGCAATTCTTCGCTGACAATCATGATTGGCTGATCAACCCAGTCAGGTTTCGTCCCGCGAATGCAACATGTCAGTTTTTGCGTCTTTTCTTTTCTTTTCTTTTGTTTTTTTCATGTTGGCGAAGTCACAGTTTTCCTGAGGAAACAAAGAAAATCAGATCTGGCTCCACTTCGGTGTTAAGAGAATGTGACCAAGTCATGGTTCAGCCCTGGCACATCTCAACCACAAGAAGAAACAAACATCGACTGATCTGCAAATTTCCGAAAGAGGAACTTCTGAAGAGAAGCAAGATGAGGCCTGCTAAGCCAATGCAGCCTGGAATGAAAGAGCGTTTTTTCAAGACAACCACACCTTGCATATCAATTTAATAGTTGAAGATCATTGTCTTCTGCCGCACACGGTTCTCACCAGCGCACCAACGGCAGTCGATTAACCGAAATGGGAAATTACCGGGATCTGACTGTTGGAGTTTCCCTAATTCACGACCGTAATGGGCATATAGAGGCTCCATTGTAGGGTGACTATGCTTGCTGTGCATGCGGGGGAGCGCCCTGAGTCTCAGTTGCGAAGCGGAATAGCCTTGCATGTAAAGCGTATCAGATCCATCACTCACTGGCCACCTATAGAATCCAAATCATCCGCACCACAGAATAAGACTCCTTATCGCTGCCGTCCGCGTTATTTGACCTGCAGCATGATGCAGAAGTTGGATCATGTCGCTCAGCCGTGACGGAGCACGGTGTGGCTTGACTGCCGAGGCTCGACTCCCGTGCAGTCCCCCGAAGGCCAAGTCAGGTCCCAAGGATCCAACGTCTTTTACCTCGGTCCCTGAACCTTGTGGAGCTGCTTGCAGTAGTTAGTAAGTAAGCAAGCAGTAGTAAGCTTTTAGTAAGCGGGGCCCTTTTGAACTCTTGGCCCGGGCCCTCCCGACATCCGTCACGTGAAACCCGCTAGCGTTCGGGAATCTCGAGCCGCGAGGGAAGGAATCCCCGAGCCGTGGCTGGGACCTGTCTGGGGGGCTATGTCTGGGGCTATGTCGGGGGGGGCTATGTCGAATCTGATAAGGCGAAGGTTGAAACAGGAAACAGGCCAGCCCAAAAACAAGAGATTAGTTGCAATCGGAAAGGAGGGAGGGAGGATATCACCTACTTAACTAGTTATCGGAATGTTCTTGTTAATAAGATGGGTCGGTCCATCTGGGTCCATCTGGGTCCATTTTGCCAGGAAAACTTCCCCCTCCCCTCCTCTCCCCCCCCCTTCCCCTCTCTTCCTCGCTCTGTTGCTGAACTCTCTCTCTCCCTTGAACCTCTGCGTCCTGCGGGTTTTACCTAGGTTCGCGTGTGCGCGTGCACTTACTTACTTTACATACCCAATGAATCAGGATAAGAGTACGAATAGTGATGCTAGTCTGGTATTGATATTTCGGAAAACAAGGCACTGATCAAACGCAACTACTATTATTAATATCATACACGGTTCTTACATGTTTATAACATACCAGTGTATGGGTGTGAAGGAGGAGGGGGGGTGTTCATGGAGAACTTGGCTATGTTACTCTGGCAGCAAGATCTAGCTAGAAGAAAAAACAAATTGCCGCTCTTCCAAATCACCATCACATCGCTCCGTCCCTGGCCCGAGGGGAATTTGACTCCCTCTCTTGGGGCGAGCACGGAGTGCAAGGGGTTTCCCCTTCATCGTTTCTCTTTCAAGGGAGGGAAGCCCCCCCCCCCCCCCCCGCATAACCGAAGCTGAAGTCGAAGACGGCTAGTCACGCAAGTTGGAATAATGCATGGGGACATGATCTATAAATCCTTCTGAATTGTTTTGATCACGGTCGGGGCCTTCCTTGTACAAGATGATCACCCAAAGAAGGGGGGAATAACAGAATATTTCTGCTCTGCCCTGTCTCACGAGTCAACGAGAGAGCTCCCCTTTCCGATCTGCCACTGTACGAAGAGGAAGATGGGATTCAAAAGGGGAACCACCCGCCGTCGGGACCTTCTAGTTGTACTGTATCACGAATCCCAATACTAATAATAATAATAATAATAATAATAATAATAACTGCCAATATAAGTAAGGGCATGTACCTAGGTACATACAAGTGCAGAGCATGTAACCCTCCTCCACTACTCCCTATATTTCACGGATTAGACAGCCCTATTTCCCCCCCCCTTTGCACCTGATGATAGACGCGGCTCCGAAATACACGACGTTTATCACATCTCATGCATGTGGTGTGCATTACCCCTTTCTTCATCGAAGGTGGGTAGTAGCAGCAGTAGTCGTAGTGACTCTAGTGCCGCTTGAGAAAAAGAGGAAACAGAGAATTCACCAAACAGCTCCCATTCATCCTTGAACCTTGAAACACCGAAGCTGGACCGTTGACACTTGGCGGATGTCGGTTTTTCCAGAAAGAGCCCGTGATGGGCTGGGCGCTAGGGCAGGGGGCCACAATGCCGACCATAAAGCAACGTACACACACGAGGTAACGAGAAATAGACGCGAGGGGTATGGTTACGCTGCGAGCAGGCATTTTTGCATGGGTAAGCTAATATTATTATTAACTGACCAACTAGTTAGTTGGTTAGTCCTAGCAATATCAATTGCCAGTGGCCTTAAAACAAAATCCTTGTGACGGCTGTTATTTCGAGACCCAAGGTTGAAGCACCGGGATTTGTTTGATTTAGTTGAGACAAGCTTCCCAATTTCGAAAGCTGGGGTGACCTTGTCAGTCAGCATCGAGTTTTGCTGAAAAGGGCTCAAGCTTAGACGACTGACCTCACAACGAAAAGCTCCGACAACAACCGCGCTGCTGCTACCGTTTTGTTCTAGAAAGTGGGTCGGAATCAGCCAGTCAGTGATTATGCCTGGATGGAGCGGTAGCCTTAATATCCGCGATAGCTATTGACAGGGGAGGGAGCAGTTTGCTCTCCCATTTATATTTTCAGCGTGACGTCGAAGGACAGGGGGGCAAATATATGTGAAATCACATTAAAATGACTAGTTAGGCTATTTAACAGCCTCATTTAAATCTCTTAAGGGGAGCTTCCCCGGTTTCCCTGGCACACATGACTGAAGATCTTTGAACGGTGGAGGATGGTTGATAGGAAGAGACATTGGCCAACGCAGAGGGCCATATATCTCTCTCTCTTGTCAGCGTCACCCAGTTGAACTTCCTTTTACTAGCTCCTCTAGGTGATAGGTAGGAAGACAGTGGAATATTTGCTGTTTCATCCTCCTCGTGGGCTGGGCAGGACAGGTTCAACCTCCAGCCATAGCGCTGTTGCTGTGGAACAATGACCTGTCAGCCACGATCTATTATTATTATGTTCCTCATCAAATGTAACTGCCGAACTCCCAAGTGGCGGTGATGCAAAGCTGCATCAATCAAGGATGAATCACGATCCCAGACCAAGTGGCTGACTCAACCAACGCCAGGTTGCATTCTTAGCGGAACTGGGCCCCAAGCGCTAGATCCCATGGCGCTTGCTGGAGCGCGATGAGCATTTAACGGCGGAGTAGCTGGTTGAAGCACTGAATGAGGACTCGAATTTAACGGAGTTTAACAACAGAATGTCGGAAAAAACTGTCAACCTTATTTCAAATCCCAAGAATCCTCGTCCGTGATTTCGTGATAAAGAATACCAACCAGTAACCAACGTACGATAATCTGCAAGATCTATCTGCCTTGTCGCTTTTCACCGCTATTAGTCTTCTTCTTGTCCAGTTGTTTCAGTATTATTTGGTAACTCGTGATTCGGTGCCTGAGACGCTGTTCAAGAGCATCAGTGTTTGAGTGGTGGTGGTGGTGGTGGTCGTGATTGTTGTCATGGATCGATGGCTGTTGGGCAGGGGGCCAGTGATCCCTTGTTCGTCCGATATCACGCCATCACTCCACCGTACTCAACTCGCCCATCGACGAGTTACATCTGTGCATTCGACTGGTACGGAGTGCTACTATTACTAACTACCTGATTTGATACTGACACCGACGATTATGCCTCCAGACAGATCTTCAGAACTGTCCAAGCAGCTTTTCGAGAGAGGATTTCTCTCCTTTCACTCACTGATACGAAGAAACACTAACCTGCCAGTCGATGGAAAAGTGCAGGCAAGAAAAGCCTTCGCCACATCCCTAAGGACCTGCTATGTTTATTTTCACCTAATGATGATATCCACAGTACGTTCCCTCTAATCAATCGCCAACACAAAAGATAATAAATACAACCATAAAAATAAAAATAAAAATAACCACCCAGACGGATCATTCGAATGAATAATACCGAAAACTGGGATTCTCATACCCTGGTTTTGCCCAAGGTACTTCGAATAACTCTATTAACATCACCCCATCCATATTTTACCTTTTCAGGGATAGATAATGCTGGTGATCAGGAGGTGTGATATTTGAAACACGGCTCGGCTCGTTGGGGGGAAGGGAAGGTAAGTGAACGTTGGCCTTTAGGGTGATGGTCGTTGCTGATAAGTGGTGATTGATCGCTGATGATGGATGGGTGACCACAGGTTCATGTTCCTGGCTCCGATGTGATGTGGATGGATGTGGGTGGGCAGAATGGTTGGATGTCAGCGTTCCAATATTGAGGATGTCTTTCTGAATTTAGGGGGATTTTTACATTTATCTTCTCTCTGGCTTTTCTGCTCCAACCAACCCCACTCCCTTTCTCTGCGATCCCACAAGAAACCCATCCAATCGGAAGTTGGGATTGCCCAGATTCCTAGTTTGTAGAGGCCAAAAGAGAGCTAGATTTTCAAATATCTCCTATCAGACTTCAAGATGCAGCCCCGTTTCTGTTTGCAAATAGAAAACGAAAAAAAAGAAAAGAGGGATTAGCCCCCCAAAGGGGATGCCTGACTAACTTCCAATTCCGGAGTGGTTAGGGGCTCCTAGGCTCTCATACCCAGACGCTATCACGTCCGTTAGAAAGGTTAAAAACGTTCTATTTCATCTAACTCCCATCTCTCTCCCTCTCTTTTACGGCCATAGGCAATTCTTTGGTAGCAAAATCAAAGAGCAAAAGTCATGCCAAAGGGTTTCGATGTTTGTTTGAACTCACCATTTTCTTGGACGTAGAACACACTGGGGGGGGGGGATCATTAAGTAATAAAACAAGAAAAATCACCCCTTTTTTTTCTTTTACCCCCCCCCCCCCCCCCCCCCCCCCCCACCCCCACACCCCCAGTTGGTGCCACTGTGTCGGATGCCGCCAATGCTATGGATTACGGCGCCATTTTTGCGATAAGCAGGAGGCGTGGAATGGAGGGGAGTGACTCTTCTGGCTCTTTTATTGTCAGCACGGCGAAAAGGCGAGATCCAGCGGTAGAGCTGGGGGGGGGGGGGATTTGAGGTTGAATCCCTGTGCGTGACTGGGATCGGAATATGCAGCTTACTTGAGTCGAGTGTTTTTTTAGTTACTCATTGAACTGGGATTATTCGAGAATTAGACCCCACGTGGAATGTGGAATGTGATCGAGGACGAGAAACGGACAATAATAATAAAAAGAAGAATTAAGCAACAACAACAACAACAATATTCTGCTGGCTTCAATTCAGGTGTGGATTTTTTGGACGTGGGGGACGATTGATTTCATTCTGCAAGGGCGAAATGGGCCAGAGTCCAGGTGCCAAAGGTGCAGACGAGAAAAGAAAAGTTTGGAAGTTGGGCGTTAGTTAGATCTTGATGTTCAAGGATTTGGCGGCGATCAGTGATGGGCAGCCATTCTACCATGTGGACATTAGAAGATGTCACAACGGACTAACTACAAGCATTTTGAGGCGGCGGCGCTTGCAAAAGTTTGTCTCTCTTATTTTATTATATTTTTGGTTTTTAGTTTTTATTTTTTAATCTAATTTAATTTTATTTTCAAATCTCCGCTGTTAACACCATCTCTCAAACAGCGAGGGGCTTCGGAGATTTACTACTTGAATGCTCCGTCGTCGAGCGCCCCCAGCCTCCAGGGCTTGATCTTAGCCAGCCCTGTCCTGAATAAAATGGCCATGTGACGCTGTTCATTGGCGGAGAGCCCAAGGAGGCTTTTCTTTCATCGCTGCGGAGAATGCGACAGTGCGCTGTTAGAGAGTGTTAGGGATGTTAGGAAGCGTTAACCCGGCATTTGGCTCTAGGAAAGCGGCGAACTTTATTATTCACATCTCTGTGGAGAGGTGAGAGAGGAGTTTTTGTAATACTGTACTCGGGATTTCTTTGGTACCAATGGAGCACAGTTTGAGATGGTTTGGAGATAAAAATAGGTATTCATATCAAATCATGTGTATATCCTGTACCAAGGTACTTTCTCATTAGACATACCCATATATGATGTTGTATGATGTTTGACGTGTTATTTTCCATCATAGTTAAGTTGGGGTGTTTCACAAGTGCGATTCATTGATCTGTGACGATGATTCATTATAATGTTTCTAAATGGCTTCCAGCCCTGTTAGCTACCTAGTCCCCAGCTGGATTCGAGTGTCGAATGTGGGGAAGCCATTTTTTCTCCCGTATCTCCGCTCTGCACAGCCAGGATAGGCGCGAGTCTGGGCTGGCGCATGACATCTGAACATGAAGGATCTTAAGCATTGCATATATAATTAAATGTCCAAATGCTATCTTTAACAGCACAGCATTGATGTAACATACAATGTGGTGAGAGGCCTCTTCGTGATTCGACCCGGCCTCCTATTGAATTGTCAAAAGAAAGAATGAAAAGAAAAGAAGAAAGCGGCGGGTTTGGCTCTGCTGTTTGAAGTAAGGCACCTCGTCATGCAGGTGAGAAATCAAGTGACCCATCGTGAAGCATCTTTAATTGGAAGCGGTGATTGATGTTTATTCCTCAATGTACGGATGGCCGCCTACTCCTTGCTTTTACCGTTCCTTAATACCCCTTAACCCCCTACCACATCTAGCTTTTATTGACTGGGGGTTCTTATGTGACTGTCTGCTTGCCAGAAAATAACAATACCTGCTCCGTACTCGATACATTCAAAGGTGATTCGCAGGGTGCATCCATTCAAGTACGGTTGAGGGCTTTATTCATGCCGGGGAATTCGGGGACTGACCACACAGATAGATAGTCGATAGTCGATAGTCGATAGTCGATAGTTATCATGCTCGACCGTACATACTAGATATCGGTTGGACCATGATATCACGGATTGGTTTACGTCTCTGCCTGCGGGATTGGCCGATGGACTCTTAACATGGAAAACGTTGCCAACCCGATTTGGTAAATCGAGTTAATAAGGGAGAAGAGATAAAGTTTTTTATTTTATTTTATTTTTTCTTCTCTCTTTTTTGGCGGGAATGGAATTGCGGAAATGAAGATAGAGTTTAAAGTTGTCTCTGGAGGTTTGGGCTGAATATAGATACACCCGCGGGCTACGGACTTCGTTATATCCGAGTTCAGAGAAGCATGAGGAATGGTTTTGAACTTTGAACTTTTGGAAGGCTTCAAGCTAGTGAAGGCTAAGGAAGAGGAAGGGGGAATTAAGAATAGAGCTGGCGGAAACAGCCACATGCAATTAATTATTTTATTTTCTTTTTTAGCTTCATTTCTTTTGCTGCTCTCGGAGGGTTGCTCCTATTTTACCCCAGAGTGTTCCCCCCCCCCCCCCAATTGACCTTCTTTCCTCATGCTGACGAGGAGGAGGGGGGGTTCGGGTTCTCCTTGTACAGTTCGTAACATTCTTGTTGTCCTCTGTTACAGTTTGTGCTGTATGATTTCAGAAGAGTGAGATGGCATCAAAGCAACCTGTTCCACTGGGTTTCGTCTCCCAAAGTGGAAATAAATTTGAGTAATAAAAAGTAAGAATACCCAGGCCCTATTTTAATTATAACCTTAGGTACGGAATAATGCCAGTTTTGCACTGTCTCTTTGCCTTCTCATGTGAGGTTCCATTTCTCTTCAAAGCTGCCGGATTCTGACTTATGAAAGTCAGATTACTTTAGATAGTATTGTATTCCCCACATTTCCCCATATATACAGGACCTACAAAGGACAACAGATAAAGTACCACGTATGGACAACGTTATCTCCTATTACTTAGAATAGAAAGGAATGTCTCTCGTGATGCCTGTATTGCGCGCATTGGATGTGATACAGCTCTGGAAGGTCATTATACAGAGGCAGGTGATCTGAAGTAGCATTGAAGTACCACGGATTGCACGTACCAAGAGAAACCCGACTGTAATACCTGTTAGGACGTTGTTATGATACGACACACCGACACAGGGGTACATTATATACGTACTGGCCAAGGGAGAACAAACCGGAATAAACCCGTCGTCGTTTGTTACCCCCCTCTTTAGCGCCTGCCCTGTGAGGAACTGCTGGGACCCGCCACAACAGGCTGGATCGTGGGCTTATTATTTCACTTCCCCCACCGGCACCAACGGGCCACAAGAGCCGCGTAATAATACCAGAATACATTCTGTATACTGTCCAGAGCAGCAACTTCCCCATGTCAAACAAACGCCATTCCGGCTATCTGCATTTCATTATTGAAAAAAGAAATAGAATAAATACATTGATACGGTATTTCTGTATTTCTGTATGTACATATAGTACAGTACAGTACTTTACATGTGATGTATCTTTACAGCTCCACTCCAACCTCGGGGGTGCCACGAGCGGTGGTAACTCTAAACTTTTCACCTAAAGTTTCCCAAAAGCGCACTCCGTCGTACTTTAACATTAAACTCCCGTACAGTTGCGTTTTTTGATATATGTAATAATAAGATAATCGTAATGTAAAGTACCGAGTACTTGGTACCATCACAACCCTTTTCACAACAACAATAATAATAAGTCCAGTCTCCCCTGCGGCTTGCCCAGCCTTCTTTTCTTTTTCCTGCTTTACTCTGTCTGCGGAACAGAAAAGCCAGGAGGTCCTCCCCTTCGCTGTTTCCCTATTAATCCCACGCCCTCCCATGCCCTGAGCCTTCCTCTGGCATGTTATTGATTGTTATATATTATATATTATATATATATAGAGAGAGAGCGCGCGCGAGAGAAAGAGCGCTCTCCACCGTCTCCTGCATACCTTACCCCCCCCCCCCCCCCCTTCTCCCGTACACCAAAAAGCATATCATATCTCTCATGCCCCCATCGTCTATCTCTTTCACATATACACACACTTGTGCTCTCGCTCTCGCTCTCACCCTCACCCTCACCCTCATCCTCACCCTCACCGTTTTCCCATCCTAATTATATCATACACTCCCGCCCTCCTCCCCTCCTCCCCAGCTCCTACAACTACAAAGCAAAAATAATTCTAATTTCTGGTTCTCCTTTCCGCTCGCTCTTCTCTCAGATGTTCATTCGGTGAATGTTTCTTTTTGCCTAGTGGTCGTTTTGATCATATTCCTGTTCGCCACAATCCTGAATCTACCTTCCGCCGTACCAAGTTTATCACTACTTTTTCACGAACAATTCCCGAACGTCCAACACCCATATTTTTTTCACACTGGTATTTATATATATAGAGGCTAGTTCCGCTCTTCTGCCTTTCAGAACATTCTGGCCCTCTCTCAATCTACATTTCATCTACCAATCCACTCCTCCTAATCCCTTCGTTTTCGCATTTGATACTTCGGAGGACAGTGAAGGGATTTTTCCCCAAGGGAGGAAGAAAGCAAAGAGGGATTTCTTGAATGAAAGCAAGGACTACACGAAAAGGACTGCAGTGGATTATTGAGGGGGGAAAAGATTCGAATTAGGATTGTTGCACTGGAAGAGAAAAACAGGTGAACCAGGAATATTAGGGATTACAACGAAGAGGAGGATATATTTCGACACAGAACGGAGACCACACGCTACACACCAATTATGCCTTCGCGATTAACAGCTGCTGTTCTGTCTGTAGATGCGGGTAAGATGCATGAGGTGGATACAAGAAATGCAGAGTCTCTGCATGGAATGTGGATGGGTGAGTCCTTGTTACCTATCCCCTCCCCCAACACCTTCTCCAATTGTGCGCTGGGGAGATAGGTGACATGCACAATACAATTTACTAATCGTCCATGGCAATAGTGTTTTCCAAATGTGCCGATTTTATGGAAGAAGGACGGCGCCTGGAAAATCTAAGTTGGAGACTCTGGACCAGGGAGACCTTTTGCGTCGAACCACTCCAACAGGAAGCCACGCAACTAGAGATCCGAAGCTTACGGTGTGGATCCCGGGAGATCCCAGAACTGTCGTCGAGCGTGGAATCTGTGGAGTCAGATGAGGCGGAACAGATAGAGACTCACATCAAACCCTCTCAGGCTCTTGACGTAAAGCCAGCCATTGTTGAAGACGACTCGGCATTGAGCATTAGTCGAGGGAAGGAAAAACACATTACCTCGTTAGGATTGGAAAGAATGGTATATAACATCAAGGAGAAGAAGTGTTTGGAACCGCTCTCGCTACCTAATACCCCATCTCAACGTGGAGTTACTGCTACAGCTCCCGTTGCGGTTGATCTTACACCCGGTCCTTCTATGCCCGCCCCTACTCCCATCGCAAGAGAACCACAACAAGTCCTCCCTCACCAGTCATCAGATTCGTGCTCTACGGCTGCTCTCGATGGCCTGGAGAGTGACCACACCTCTCCCGTGGGATCAGATACAAGTCTCTCCTCGTCTGGGCGTGTGGAGTCCACAGGTATCGATGAGTCTACAAGAATCGTTCGCGGGTTTTCTCCATCTCAAATTTCCTCTTCCTACCGGTCACGTCCTCAAGTTTCTTCAAGCCCCACGTCATCGAATACAAGTGTTCCGGTAGCATCCTCACCGCTCAAAAAGGCAGGCGGAATGTTTACCCTTGGCGGCTCGTCAGGTGAGGACGAGAGCTCGTTTGAGGATCGCATGACGGAAAAACCTCAACGAAGCTCACTGTCAGATGGCCTTCAGCAGACTGGTTCCCCCATGAAGATGGCCTTGGTCAAGAATTCCATGGAATCTACACCTGTAAGAACAATTAGTGAAGGCTCTGATGATGAAGATGCCATCGAGACGGATGATGACGACGAAGAGATTTCAGAGAGCGCCATTGAAGATGATGATTCTTCAGAGTGGGAAGACTCGGTTACTGAAAGCGGTAGATCGAGCGTCGACGAAAAGGAAACTCTTCCAGCGCGTTGACTCGCGGCCTAATCTTGTCTCGAGACGATCACTACTAACCATGATGATCCATCAAACCGCAACGTACGATGAACGGACAGCTCGCTGGCAAGTCGACGTGTCCCGCTGGATCCCGATCAACACCTGCCCTCCAGCAATCTCATCTGGCATCCCCCAATGAAGACTCCGCCACTGGATCAATAGAAGATGATGAAAATACTCTCACTATGAAAGGGCCCGATGTACCCAGGTCAAAACCCATCATCGTCAAATCAATGCCCACCCACCAAATACCACACTCACCACGAACTACGCGGAGGAACATGCTTGCGACCGAGTTGACAGAGTCGCTACGACGCCATCTGCTCTGGGAACGACAGCAAAAGACCACACCGGGCTTTAAACGCAGGCATACTGCGTATGATATGGGAAATTTACAGGAGTTCCCGGGGTCCAAGAATAACAACAGTAACGCGAACATGGATGTGAACGTTAACTTGTCCAATATGAACGGAGTACAAACAGCGCAGAGGTATGCGCAAAATATCTCGAGCAACTCCGCCTCTAGGGACAAGGAGACATCTAAGAATAGTTCGTGGAATCATTACTTCGACTACGGACCGTGGGAATATCACGTTAAGGGCTGGTGATGTGACGATTATCTTTCTGTCTTAACTGTCCCGTCCCGTCCTCCTTTTTCTCCAACATTGTCGCCTTTCCTTTTTAGTTTTGATACCCAACCGTTCGACTCTAGACAGACACCTTTCTCTTCATGTGCTGTATCTTATCTTACAACCTGCATCTTTTTCATAACCATAAACCATACACACGTTATTCCCTCCTCCTTATTACTATTACCACTACTCCCTATTCCCTCCATCAAACGCGACGTCCCAAAATCAAGAAAGCTTCAACAATCAAAACAAGAAAAGGAACATTGCCCGCGAGAAGAAGGTTGTTTCGTGTCTGCTGAACTCCCATCTATCCACAACTTTTCCTCCCCTTTCACTCTTCCTGACTTCCCATTCATTTAATTGATCTATCAAAAATCCCCCACCCCCGGTTACGAGAAAGGAGAGAACCTGTGAGAGGAAATATTTCGGATTCAAAAAATTGCATGTAGCGCCCGGCGCATTAATGTTTCGGTTTTGCCCCTTTAATTGTTTGCTCCATCAACTTTCAAGCTTTCTGTTCCCTTCTTTTTACAATTCTTCTTTTCTTCATCGGTTAATCTTGCAACTGCGTTTTTCCTCTTATTTTTGCATGTGCTAGTTCTAACGGCTTGGACGAGGGCAAGCGCGAAAAGTGGTTTTTTTTTTTTTTTTTTTTTTTTTTTTTTTTTTTTCATGGGAGATTGTTATGGTTCATAGTATCTGTGGAATCTGTGGTCATCTGAGCAAGTGTTTCTAACAATCATGTTTGTTTGTTTTCGTTTTCAAAACAGATCCGTGATCATGTATTGTATAGTATTAGTATCCGGCCAGCTACGATAGCAACAAGCATAGGTACATTTCTTTTTTAACCTATCTCCCTAGGTAAAAAGAATTGATATATTCTGACGGAGTCCATGATCCCTCATTTTTTTTTACTCAGAACCAACTTTTCTATGGCAATTTCATTCGTGGTAATACGTAACTGTTGTAGAACTTTTTGACAAGGCCAAAATCTTCTGCACTCACTAGCAGAGGTCTAACTTATTAGATGTAACTATTAATCTTTCCCCAGATGCTTACCACCCACGCGTATGTGCAGTTCCACCTACGAAGCTATGTCCCTAGGTTGCTATGTCACATTATATATGTGACTAAATTACTCCGTATGAACATGCATTTAAACCAAGCTAACTAGTTCTGGTTCTGTTCAAAAACGCAATGGCCGTGTGGGCATGGCAGAGTCATACCATCTCGGGAGACAAAAGTTGACAGAGCATGTCAAATGTCAAATGCTTTCCATCTTCCAGCATGCAGCGGAATATAACGAACGCATATAGCTGCGGTGGCAAGATGGCGGCACTTGAAAAGACAACGCATCGCTCAGGTGGATGGGGGTGCTGACCTTGAAAGCCCGGATAGAAACACACACAATACGGCACGCACGACTCGGACACGACTCGGACACTCAACACGACACTCGCTCGCTCGACATGTCGACCTGACCAGCAGCAAATGCCGGCTGAACTGGAGCAGGGCGGGATGATGAGTTGGCAGGTTGTTTTTCTTTTCTTTTTTTTTTTTTTTTCCCCTTTTCTTTCCGGGGTTGCCTTTGCGGAGGAACTAGTTATCGGGTAGTAGTAGCCCTTGGTATTATTATTTCACGGTTGTGTGAGTGATGAGGCGCGGAAAAGAGGAAGATCGGATTAGGTTCTGACTTGCTCTTCACGACTCACGAGGTCTCGGAAGGTTCGTCAAAAGATCGTTGTGATAGGCTGGAGGATATGACTCCTTTTGCCCCCTTTCGATCTCTTACTCTTTTCTTCCTCTATTCTTTTTTCTTCTGCTTGTCATGCGTGGACGCGGATCTATCATTCTATCATTATTCTAAGTCTGTTCCCAGCCTAGTTAGTTAACCAAAGAGAAGAAGTTCGAAGTAAGGGGGGGGGCGGAAAACAAAACCTTAGCCAGGAAACTCTGTGATTATATACGGGTGGCTTCAACGATCTCATTGTTCAATTCAACCATTCATTCTGTTTGTTTCATTTCCTTGTTTGCTCTATTGAGCTTATTTTGACAGCACCCATGGATAGCAAATCCAGAACGTCTTCGAAAGAGGTATTCATTCGGACAAGATTATATGTATATACGACAGTTTAACTATCTATGCGATGGAGAAACCAACCAGATTGAAACGCAAGGGGCAACCAAGTTAAAAAGGAACCGTGATAACGACTAATTTTGTTTGCGAACGGCAATGCAACTGCGATGATCTACCTTGCATGTTCATTGTCTTCCTTCTGGCCTTACTGCTCCGTACAGGACATGCTCTGCAACCTGTGCCATCCCTCCCTTTCCGTACTATGTACCTGGTTGAAAGACACTGGCTGTTCTGATATCATCATCCTGGTTCCACGTCCTTCTACGATGTCGAGATCGCCTTCTGGAAGGCGATTAAATTCATTTTAGCTTTTCTTTACCCTCCCTCCAACTTCGTTGCGGTCGCAGGGGACTGTTGGGACCTTGGCTGCCAAGACCCTTCGGAATGAAGCTGAAACTCTGCCCAGGGTTTATTATCCCAGGTTCGAGGATCAATTATGTGTAGCACTGGGTTTGCTACCATTTGAAGCCATTTTGGCTTATCCTCCTCTTCTCTTCTTTTTCCCTCCAAGACACTTCGTCCGCGTTGATGTCCTTTCCCCGCGGTGGTATGCATGTGTATGTTTCAATACACATCTCGCCTGGATGGGCCCCCTTACTCCATAGAAGGCTAACTACATAACTCCGGGGAGAGAAACGCGGGGTTGAGGGGGCCCTAATAAAGAAGACATTCTTTGATCTTCTCTGGACCCTGCATTTCACTTGCTTTTTGTTTGTGACCCTACGCGCCTACCTGCAGTCGAGTACGGCGCGCGTACACGAACATACGATCAGCGACGGTGATGGAAGATTGAATGAAAGATTACATGAGCATTCCGGTGCGGTAGCCTGAGAATGAGATTGACCCCCTTTTTTTGTTTTATGTATGTACTGTGCATACGTCTGTCTATTCATCTACAGAGCATATATTGGAGGCTTGTGTTGCACTGACAATGTGCTAATACCCGGTTGCAGATGACACTGTCAATGCAGATGCAAAAAAGTCTGTAAATAATATCTTCTCACGCATCCGAGCGCGTATTTGCTGTTTTCGATTTTAGCCCAATCTCAAACCCCGGGTTAGGTTGTTGCTTTGTTTCTTCTATGCGCGGGTATTCTAGCACCCGCAGTTATGGGATGCAAACATATAATTAACTACGGAGTATCCGAGTCATATCTAAACCGTATCCCATATGCATTGTCATATGCTGTGCTACATTGAGATGCGTTTTCGTATCTCCATGAACCTCTGTTGGTTTCGTCTGTCGGAGAGCTCCGTCCATCATATCCCCACTTCTTCTGTTCATGCTATTCCCGACTGACTGTCATCTGATCTAGATAGTGAGAGGGGCTGAGCATTATTCAGCCATGTGTTGGGAAAATTCTTTTCATGCATTCCCCTTGGGAAAATGAGATCGGGAGTTTTGAATCTGCTATCATTAACTACAAAAGAAAAAGATGGGTTACATCGCCCAATCGTCCCGTTTCATATCTTTCAAAGTCAAGCAGTCAAGAAAACCGATCTAACCGGCATTGATTGATTAACCCATCGGAAGTCCTTAGGTATTTCAACTTACTATAGTAAAACCGAGTCTACTCTTGTGGGGGGCGGGGGGGGGGGGGGGGGGGGGTTGGAACCCCCAAGTTTCTCCCACCATGCCCTCCAGAAGCCGGAAAATAACTAAATTCCCAACCAAAATGAAGCCGAATGCTTAACATCCCACTCCGAAGAGGCATTTAATTCCTTCTTCTCTCATACGGAGTAATCGAGGCCTGCCCAGTGTGGCCAACCTCTCTTCCCTTTGCTCCACACGTGTGCAGTGTTTGCTGCTGCTGCTGAAATCAATCTCGAAATTACTCCATTTCAAATCGGGTTTGATAACTAGTTACTGAAGAGAGTGGGGTCTGATGTCTTCATCCTTTCACAGTTAATTACAAGGTTGGGACTGAAGCAGCCTCCCATGTATTCTCAGCTGACCAGAGGAGGTATTTCCCTAATATCTCAAAAAGATGCTCCCATGAAATGTAATAAAATGGTTACTCATACACACATCATCTCGATATATATCGTCATAGGTATTAATTCCTTTATATTACGTATCTGTATAGACTCCATACCGATATTTTGGCGTTTCATGATCTGTATATTCTCTTAACCTGCACGAAAATTTTCCGGAGACATAGTAACGAGAACAGGTCTCCGGCTCTCCTCCTGCTTCCCCGGATTCCGAGCAAGAGGTTTGTTGGCTGAGAAAGTCTCCGCCCCTTATGCCGCCGAAGGGGCAGCGCAGCAGGACAAACAGCCACCTTGTTTGAAGGGGGCTACAATTAGTCGTCAAATAAGGAAATACATGCATAGACAATTGGAAGGTGAAGATGTAGGAAAATACAAAACATGGGTTACGCGGGTAAACGGACTTCCGCAAGGTACCAGATACATTTTACGGCTGTTCACGGTCAATACCAAGGATCACAACACCCTGCACTGGCAATTGTTTAATCACGTCATCGTTAACTAGCCGCCGGGAGAATGTGACAAGTGTATGTTCCTGATAGTTAGCAAGAATTGTTACTGTCTGAAGAAACAATTCAAATCATTCGTTGGTCTTTTCTTTTCTTTTTTCTTTTTTTTTAAAAAAAAAAAGTTTCTCAGTTCTCTTGTAACTATAATTTATTCATGTATGATGCTACCCGCATCCGTTGGCATGAAGGCTGCAGAGTCATGGAGCTGTATGAAGGGCGAGAAGCCGAGGCCGTTAACAGTAACTTGACCAGCTATTCGAAGATTGTTGTTGTTTAAGTGGATAGATACTGAGGCTGCCCGAATCATGTGCCTCCCCATATAACTCTATGTAGTTTACAGTTCGGCTAGCTAACTAGGTATGAGAGGAACGACTCAATTAATAAGCAGCGCGCAAATGGCAAATGGGGGCGCGATAAAGGAAACCTACGTATTCTTTCGCGGAAGGGGTGTGGAATTAAGTTGGATGGCTGTGTATTCTCCATAAATCAGTGATCTATGGGAAAGTTATCTCACCAAATGAAAAATGATGATTTTCTATTTTTGAACAGTTTTCTTTGCCTCATCACGTACAGACCTCATCACGTACAGACAAAGCCTCAGCTTGATTGAACTCAAAACTTACTGTGTGCTTTTTCCTCGTTTCTCTTTGACCGTTTTATTGGTGGTTAAGCTGTTGATGTCATGGGACATTATGATTTTTTCTTGTTGAAAGCGGAAAAGTGAGGGAAAAGAAAGGTTATATCTTTTCTTTCCGTCCCTATGATCATTCAAATTGCAGCAGTCAATATCAAAATAGAATTGTCCTATTTGTACTGCGGAAAGTTTCAATACAGACCGGCATAATTTCAAGTCAGTTTCTTGGTTGATTTATTTAACCTCCTTGTTTTGCGCATCTTCTCCCTGTCGCGTATCAGAATTAAACCAGCGTAACTAACTAATACTGTGTTGGGTCGGAAGATTGGTTTTCCTTTCATGCTGTATTGCAGAGCTCAGTCCCGTCCCGCAATGGCTTCGGACACACGTTCGCGGGGTTGAGGAATCACGATGTGTTTGCGGCTCCGCTTTTCGACACTTAATTCTAATAATTAACACTGTCATGACAGTACATATGTAGCTTTCATACGGCCCTGAAAAACATGATTTTGGATGGAAGGGGTCTGGGCCGTGATATCTCACCCAGGGACCGTGCTACTACGGCTGGGCGTGAATGAGTGTTCATACGCAGGTACAGTATACATTTGCATTTTTTGTGTTCTGTACAGTAACTATATATCTTAATTACGTTTGTACTCAGACATGGTTACACATTAATTGACAAGGTATGGTAGGTATTGTTTGATTGTCATGATAGATTGATTTCCTGCTTCTCCTCTCTATTCCATCAGGTCTTAACTCAGGCCCAGTTTTCATCTTATTGCATTCCAAGGGCGAGGGTGCTGTTTAGCAAGGATAAATGATAGTTATTCAATTCGCCCTCTGTACTAGTAGCTGGTCAGCTGAGCAGTTTGCTACCTTTGAGATCTTCAGTCATCTCTCCTCAGCCAAATCGTTGACAACTTGGCATCATCATCATCATCATCATCACATCGTCGCTCTTTCATTTTTGCTTCTCATTTTTTATCCAATTTCCATCTCAATATGTGGATGACCAAGATCTAGGCTTTTCGGTAAAGCCACCTGGCTCAAAGTCAACTTTTCTTTAGGCTGATGTTTTCTTTGTTTTGCATTTCCTCTTGAATACCCTCTCCGTTCCTCTTCTTAGCTTCACAAAGTGTGGCAAATAGGACCTGGGAGGCAGGGGCGATCATTGATCTACGATTTTATCAGGTACGGGCCTTCGGCATGCTGTATCATTCAGTGTTATGTGTGACCAGCTTGATTTCCATTTTTCGCCTGAATTTTAAGCGGTGGTTTGTTCTAGACATCGTTTCCCTGCTTTTGCAAAGTCCTGCTTCTATCGATGCGTTACTTTACTCCTTTTTGCTTCTGATGAACTCGTTTCTCATTTCCCCGGATTTTTGTTTCCGAGGTTTAGATCGCCCTGAAGAACTTGCTTGTAGTAGTGTAGTTGGCGTAGACAAGGTCGCTAGCTAGCTAGTGACCCATCACTTCCTGGCTGCTGAGATTGTTAAATTTGAGCGCTATCACTTGCTTACTTCCGCAGAATATGGGAGTTCTGATTTGCTGATTCATCTCACCCACCTTCAAATCCGGCCAGGTGTTTATATGTGCCCTGATTTTTCAATTATTGGTCTTTGTATGTTGTTCCAAAATATGATCCAGATACCTCCTATCTACGCAACTCCGACCTGTTCGGAATGGTGGAAGCAGCATTAAAACAAGAGAAGCGAACCAAATCGATGGCGAATACTGGGCCATGTTCATACATGTACAGTCTTTCATTCCAGTCAGTTCAGTGTTGAATTGAGTCATCATAAGGTTATCAAACAAGATAAACAGCTTTTCAGCTCCTCTTTTCTCTTCAATTGAAAAAACTACTTTCACATGGCCTTCGTATTAAAATTCTTACCCCTGTTTCTGCCAACCTTTCATCATCAATACGAGATCTTGTCCTACGAAAACCAGGATATATCGTCAGATGGTGAAACGCAGATTCTAGACGGCAGAACGAGACACAAGATGACAAATGAGGGGAAAAAGGGGTTCCAGTGTGCTACACAGATTCAACGTATTTGCATCTTGTGTTCTTCATTTCTTGTGTCGGCCTTTCGGCTATTGTTTGCTTCTCTTGTTGGCTGTCCCGACTAAGTTTGGCCAGTTAAGTGTAAAAACTCGATCTGATTTCGCAGAGAGTTGCAAGTGAGAGAGAGGGTTGCTTCAGTGTTGGTCAGGCGTATTTTATTCGGTATTATTGTCACTATCACGATGAAATTATGTTTAAAAATGCATCAGATATTCTGTAGGTGCATATGGGAAATATGTATGGTGATGCATTTCTTTACCACACGGCAGAGAAGGGAATAGATAAGGCTATTCCCCTCTGGATACGAAAGGAATAACCACAGGCGTGAGATCCAGTATAGAGGGCTGTTTGATGCACAGTACATGGGGGTTGGGGGTGTTCTCTGCTGGTACTGTAGCTAATAAGCTAATATAGATTACAAGTAGAGATAACAGATAGAAGATGAGTGAAAGATTCATTACATCCTTTCATAGACGTGCAGTTTTTTGAAAGGAATTGCCTGAAAATGCTAATACGAAATACAAGAAACAGTATGAATTCCACAGGTATTGGCTACTTGCACAAAAAATGTAGATTCCTTGATAGGTATTAGCGCACCCCCGGAAACGATATAGCTCAACGTGAGACAGAAGGCTGGATTTCATTCCTCGCCTAGGAACAGGATAACGATGTTATCAACTAGGTCTAAGGAGTCCCTGTGTAAACCTCCCTCGGTACCTCGATATCAGGGTACGTTGGTATTTACGAGGTATACAATCTCCTCGAGTTACCCCTCTACTATCCCTGATACTATCTTTAGTCGACTTCTCAATAATGAAAAACAGATACATTAGATTCTCGGCAATTGAGTCGTGATGATGCGGTGGCTGCCTTAGCCCGACTTAACCTTAGGTATGATCGCCTTCGTTAGGCCAGTTGCCAAGGGGGATCACTTCTTTGTGGTTAGTAATTCGCTTAAATAGATATGAACATGAGAACTGGTTGAGCAAATTCAGCTTGATAAATTTTCTCTCAACCTTTTGATCCAACTAAGGTGTTGCAAAGTAAGAATTCTGTTGGTCAGTCAAGAACTTCCATTAGCCATAAAGTGCATTATCCGTTATTTGATGCAGCCTAGTTACTTTATTTTGGTGGTTTGCCAGCTGCCCGCTATTGATGAAACCGTTGTTTTGCCTGCTCAGTTCCAGATCTTCAATCCCCTACCTATACCTCAAATGTCCCATGCCTATATGAAACACATCATCCCTTCCTCAATATCTCTAACTCCGTCTCAGATACGGAGTGCCGAGATGTCTTGAAAAAATAAAAAAGAATCACGGAAACTTTTCACGGTTTGCTTCTGATTTTAATGGAATGATGATGCCCGCCACAAAGCGCCCTTCGGTACCTGGGAACGGATGTGGTGTGTGCCCTGCATTTTACTCATGCTATATGGTTGGATTTCTCGACCGATGGCAAAGAACAAAAGGGGGGGGGAAAGGAACCATATTTCAACATATTTTCAAGCTCCTTGGCTAGCTAACTACTCTGTAAAAGGATAGGAAAAAGAAAAGTCGGCTTGTTGAATCTAGACCCCCAAACGACCGAAAACGCCATGTGGTATCCTTGTTGGCATCTTTTCAAATTATTCGGTTTGATGAGGGGTTGGGGCTTATGTGGCGTTGCCAGTTGGCGGTTATGAAGGATGGTGTAGTGTGTTTGGTGATGGTGAGTTCTTCTATTATTCCTTAATATTTTTTGCTTCTTTTGCATCTTTTGCATTCCATTGCGTTTGTTGATTTCTTCCGTTTCTGGTTGATCATCTGAAGAGGAAAATTTTTAGAGTTTTATCCCCCGTTTCCGCTTGAATATTTTGACGTATCTCGAAAAAACTCAAAAAGCGGAGTGATCTGCTACCCTGAGGCAGCTCGGATTTCATGTGACATATTTTCCCCTCCTTTCAAGGTTGAGGTTGTTCACGGGGGTTTACTTAACATTAACTACAGCGGAGACAGAGTTTTCTATCAAGCTCTCCACCGCTTTTGGGATCGTCACAATAATAATAATAATAATAATAATAATAATAATAATAATAATAATAATATAAGAGAATATCTCGAGAGTAGAGTAGTGTTCTGAGAAGTTGTCAGAATTGAAGACATTTTGAGACCAAGTGATGTCATGATTTTACGCCTTCCATACGTATGATTGACATAGTACCACTCAATTGCTTATGAAATTCTAGGTTGATAAACTTGGGTTACTATCTCTGATCTTGATTTGAAGAGCATAAGATTTTTGTGCAGTGGGAGGTATGCTTCTCTCACTGAACTTGCTCCTTTCTCTTGTCTGTGAACGTGTTAATAAGTACTTATATTTAGAGTTACTTTCATGTGGGGAAGCTTCGAGATCCCAAGTGTCAGTTGAGACTTCAGGTTTTCATCTCAAGGACATCAATCATCTGCCAATTCTTACCTAGCTAGATTCATATGTCATCTGCTATAGCCTTTGGCAATGCATGAAAATTGGCGAGACGCGCAATCATCATACTGCTCTATTAGCATAGAAACTTGGTAGATTCGGTTACTCATACACAATAGGTAGAACTGGTAAACTATACGAAGGTATACTTCATGGGGTTGAAGTAGGGCACCAAACTAGCAGGTTAGTCTGAGAATTCACGTTCTGAGAAAGGGTTAACTCTGACTATACATGAATTAATATATGTCGGATTCAAATGTATAAAAATAGATGATAACTAACCAGGATGTAACTGCATTTTTACTTACGATATTACTCGTCGGTTACGTACAGTTCATAGAGCTAGCTCCCTTTAACGCTGTTGGTTGAGAGTGAGGCGTTATACCTTATCTCTTCCAAAAACGTATTCGCATTCAAGCACAGGGAAGAGCCGTTGAAAGCTATTTGGTTAAATCGGCGGTGAGGGGTGCCATTTTCTGTTTTGGTCATCGTCCTTTCTGTCGTGGTACGGAGAACATGGTTAAAAGAGGGTTTAGAGATGCGATTGGAAACATAGCTTTGTAGGATGACAGCTTGGTATAAGATGTTCTTTCTAGAAGCTGTTGATGTATATCCAGATGAAACAACAAAACAAGTTGTTAACTACCTATAGTTAATACTTGCCCTATGGGAAATGGAGAAGAAGTGCAAAGGGCAAATTGGCGTCGACATTTAACTATGCACTACTCTTATATAACTACTCCGTGGTTATGAAGTGACTCCGGCTCTTGAAAGTTACAAAATATTGACGAGGTATAGCGAGGTACCTGTTTTTAACACAAAGCTTGTATCACGCAGGGACTGTAATCAACTTTACATACCGAGTTACCTTGGAGTTATTTACTTGGACAAAACAACCTCTCCCTAAGCTATCTTTTCATTATTTGTGGTTTTTAGCTTTTCAATACCCGGCCGCGTCTACTGTTTGGCAGCGATCAGGTATCTTTAACAAAAATCCTATATCAAGAGCTCGCTGCAACACAACATCTCAAAAAAGGTCTGCATCTTATTATCCTGCCGCTAATCTAGATAACCCAGATTGATACGAGTCAAGGAATCGAAACATCCTGCGGCTGCCGTGCCCCGCTGTCCGCCTTGAATGAGTTTTGTCCTACTTCGCGGGCTGGGAAACCCTTGAGAGACGTGCTTCTTTCTCGACATACAATCGCCAGGGCAATTCTCAAGACCTAGTTATTTTTCTATTCTCGGTATATGGTCATGGCAATCAAACTGGCTAACTATGGGGATGACAAGAAACAAGATGTTAGAGCAGGGAGCTAATGGTCTCCTCTTCTGGCTTCTTCACCGCTTCGAAGAATAATGACTCAGACATTGCATTGATGTGCTGGACCTCTGTAATTCCCCGCAATGCCTGTCGGACCCCACCGATTTAAGGGAAGGGGAATGACATATGTGCAGGGAGGAGGGAAAGTATATATATATATATAAGGGCTGCTGATGATAGTCATAATCTTGTTTTGTCGGGTCGGGTCCTTGTTCTGACGGCCGATGGTTGGTTTCGTTGCTTGTGAAGATAGAGCAATGTGCTTCGTTTCACAGCAGCAGGGGTTGGTTATTTCTGGTTCTTCTGGAACAATTTGGAGGAATGATGACTCTGCTACATCGTGGAGAACTCCCCGTATTTCTGGGGACAAGGTTTATAGGGAGTTTCAGCCGCTGGGAGCGGGCTGGTGTAAATAAGGGGGGGGTTTTCTCTAAAGGGGACGAAAGAAGTCATCCACGCATAGTTACAAGCAGTCAAGAGTTGTCTGTTCTTTCTCCGACAACAAGACCCACTCTGTGAAGAGCGAGTGGTGTATTCTGGAAATACGAGTAAGAATGAATCATCTGGAGAAACTACGGAGTAACTACGGAGTAACTAGGTAACTAGTTAATGTATAGAGTACTCAGGTTGAATCGACCGCGGTGTCCATACATAAGATAAGACCCGTTGACAACAAGCCCCTTTAGCACATAAGGGGTTGAATGGAATGACACGCTCTCCAATGATACTCTCTGTGCTGCGCTCTCTGCTTGTACCGCTCCTTGGGCTGTAGCCTGCCGGGTCTTCTACCGCCTATCGGGGTTGCGCACGGTAATCAACTAATTAGTTAGTTGGTATCATTGCCGGCGGGCGTGGGATTTGGCGTGTTCACGTGGTTGACTGGTCTCACCCTCGGGCATCTTCTCGCCCTTCGCCTCTTCGCCGCTGGGCCCTGACCACCTGGCAACAGCAGCAGCATCATCATCATCATCATCATCATCATCACCATCAGCATCAGCATCATCAGCAGCAACATCAGCAGCCCCCAGCCGGCATCCCCCGCGCTGTCTCTTGCGTTGGCCCTTCGCTGTTCGGCCGCTGGCTAGTCACCGGACTTGTCTGCAGGGCCACCGCCAACGCGCCCCAGGTCCGCTGTTCGTTGATTTGTTTGCTCCCAACAAATTACAGACCCCTCCAGTCACCGAGTGAAGGTTCCTGGCCACGGAGGCGCTGCGGACTTCTACTGGACTGGGCTCTATCCATTGTTGTTGACCTTTGATGTTGGCTGTTTTTGCTTGCAGGATAGGCAACTGATGATCCGGGCTGAAATCACGAGGAGATCTTGGTCTCTGGATAATCAGCCACTCTTTAGTTGCATCGTCGCTGTCTGTGCGAATTTCCATTACTCTCGTTCGTCGATTATTAGGCAAGAGTCGCATTTGCAAGGCAGATCGGCGGCCTCTACTGCACGGCATATCCCCACTGCTGCATGTCCTCGACTTGTACTGCGTTGAGACACTCGGCGCGAAGCAAACAGATCTCGATCACCAAGGTAGGTCATTTGAGCAAAAACAACGGCTAGAATAAGAAAGCCAGCATGAGGATAAATCCGATGGCGAAGAAGAGCTATCTGAGTTGGCGATTTTGATGGCACATCCCCTTCGCGTTTTCTTATCTCTTTACCCTGTCATTATTTAGTTACCCGCCTTGCCAATATTTTCTGACCCCTCCCCCACCAAACCCCCCCAACAAGCTTGTAGTTACATGCTTGTCCTTTGACATCTAAACGGGCCGCTGTGGCTGTATGGATACTCCCGCCTATAGCCTGCCGGAGTTGATACACACCCTCCCTTTCAACATTCATTCCAAGGTTATATAATATTTACTTAAATTTAACCGTCTTTGGAGAACACACGTCCCCTTATTTGCATTTGATAGCCAGATACAATGCAAAGCTAGGCGCTCTTTTTATTCTTTCCTCTCTTACCACCCCACCCAGTCACTCAGTCACTCGGCGCTCTCTCTGCGCTGGTTGGGTCCCTGCGGTTTGACGCACTCTTTCATTGTCGCCCATCTCGGCATAACCTGGGTCACACGCTCACTTGGTACTCTTTTTTTAGCATAGGACAACCGCCTCCCGTGAGCGCTGCGTTGGCAAGCGTTCAGCCTCATCTCGCCCAGATGGATACACGACCGCCTACAGCCAGCGGTCTCCCAGATCGCAAATCGGCCAGGTGCCGGTTCTTTGGGTCTAGAAAGGGTATGTCCATTGCTTGCTTCTTGAGTGATTTCTTGATGTTGATTGATTGATTGACTTGACTCTGTACTTTGTTGTAACCTCCTCCCTATCATATCTCATTACAATACCCAGTTCGTTTTTCTAATACATCGTTTTGGAATTTCATGATACCTGCTTGTTGACAGTATTATCCAATTACATTACTTGACTGTCTACATTCTCCATCCCCCCCCCCCTTTTGGTTTTTCGTATCCTCATCCTTTTATTCTTGATCTCTTGACTTTCTCTTTACTCCACCGCCTTTTGCTTTTCAATACTGACATCAGCAAGGGTGTCGGGCTGGCAATGATTGCCCTTATGCTCATGTTGTGCCATCTGCTGGCCCTGTGGCCGCTTCGTCAGAACGCTCAACATCTTCTGTACAGGTCAATGATCCACGGCCAAGCACCCAGCAGAGTAATGAAACTATGCCGTTCGTGGGAAGAAATGAGAATGAATCAACTACATCCTCAGCTCAAACGTTCAATTCCCGGCCCCAGCGTTCCACGGACATCTTGTCTCAACCTGTGCAGCGGCCAATCCCGCGTGCTCAGCTTGAGAACCCTAGAGAGTTCCAGATAAACCAAATTAGGCGTCGTTTTCATCCGGAAGAGCGATCTAATGAAGAGGGAACGCATCTGATGTTTGAGATGTATCCGTCGGATCCAGATTTCACTTCTAGCTTGAACAGCTTGACATGTGCAATGCATGTTCCTCTGGGATATCCATCTCAAGGGACGCCGTCCCTAGATATTTTGAACAAAGACATAGATGCGAAGTACAAGATGCTTATTCAGCAAGAATTCGAAAACATTACCAAGACTCGTATTTCGGACACTCTTCTAACATGGATGAATGTCCTGGACAGATCGCTGACAAAAGTATTCTCTACACCGCATCCAAGGGCTGGGCCGGCACCACCTGGTCCTTCGTACAAAGGACGGGGCTTATCTTTTTCTCTGAATGATCAAGAGACAACAATGATCCAAGAAAAGGAGAAGGCTCGCCAACGTCGAAAGAGAGAGATCACACAGCTTACTTCTCGCCTGGGCAGGGTGCCTCTGTTTTCAGAATCTGCGGATGGTGTCTCCTTTACCATCCCAGTTAATCCACTTAAGCCACAATTACTTCCCCCGTCTCTCAAGTCCGTTAAAAAGATTGACTTGACTGTCCCATTGTTATACCCGCTTGAACCTTGTTACATCAAGTTTCCTGGCATTGATGACAACTCAGCCAGAGCAACGGAGGCATCGTTTGAGAAGCATGTCATAGGTAATCCAGGTGCGAGCTTGACATCGCATATTAACTATCTGTCCACAATGCTACATACTCTAGCAACACAGCCAGTTGAAGATGCTGTTACATCTTTATCCCTGAATGATAAATACGAAACTGAAGTAGGAACGCCGTCATCATCGACTTTGCCTCCGGACCAATCTCATCTCACAGAGACAAGGACTACGATAGATGTTCCTGATCGGCCCCATATTCAGGTCATTCCTAGGCCACCTGAATGGATATTGCCCAAACAAGGTGACGAGTTTGATAGTGATAGTGATGAATCTGATTACTCTGAACCAGAAGAAAGTGCTACTGATGAAGAAGATGATGATGATGATGAAAGCGGTGGTGTCAGTGTTCCACCAATGCCACCGCCTCCTACGGGGCGGGATGTGGCGTTGTCATTTCCATCAATGGAGCTCCTGGGAATTGAACTTCTCGAGTTGAAAACCCTACATTTAACGCTCAAGTGTGAGCGGTGCAAGGAGTTTGTGGACATTAAAAACATTAAAATTGGAGAAGATGGGTTGAGTGTTCTTCCAAAAAGGGTCGGGTCATGCAAGAAGTGCGGTAACAATCTTAGTATCGGTAAGTCCAAGACCTTGGGGAAAAGGCTGCTTGTGGCGATTAAGAAGAGTTGCCTAAGTCTTCGTTAACTCGTGGAATTTGACTTACTAGGCTTTCGCCGCGAGTTAATGCACCCCAGCTCTAACCGTGCGGGGTATCTTGATCTTGAGGGATGTCTTGTCGTTGAACTGCTTCCTAGGTATGTACATACTGTATCAGCCCACCGTTAGACATAATAAAGAACCAAGCCGCGGCTCGACACGTCACGATATATATACAGCCATCTTGGGGACGTCAATAGAGTTTGCCATTGCTCACATTTATTTTGATTTTTAGTAATTTTATGCCGACATGCTCCGAATGCTCGACTACCTACCCCGCACCAGGAATTGTTGCAGTTCGTGGAGATGATGCGTCGGCAATCTGTCGTGAATGTCACCATAAGATGAGTATGTATATATACGAGCAAGAAAGAGAGGCTTCCGACAATATGGGATATAGATCCGTGTCTTCCCTAGATATCAGATATCACGGCGACCAGCAATGTTGACAAAAACCTCTTTTTTCTACAGGGTTCAAAATTCCCGAGGTCAAATTCTTGCTTGTGAGCGCTGGAGCAGGTAAGTTGACAGTTATACTTTGTCAGATAATGCTTTTTCATTCTCGATTTTATTTTGCATAAAGTATGCTTGGTTCTGAAAAAAAACATCTTTGTGCGAGTGTGGCTGTCCCTTGCACAACTACCCGTCTTTCGGCATTTGGCGAGAATAGCTGGAATGATATTCTAATATCAGGTCCGCCCGTTTATTCTCTTTCGTGTCACGTTTTGCTTGGACTATTCACTTCTTTCCTAATTTGTACATTTTGCATCTGATGCCGGACTTGACTTACAGAGTTCACATTGTCTCGTTTTCCTGGTTTCAGCTCTACCTCGGGATCACGGCCTTGAACTTATTCGGGTGCATGCATGGGGTCGACATAATTCGACTGAATATCCATGATTTCCCCTTTTTTTTCTTCTTCCTTTGCTTGGCATGCGCGTCATAATGCTCATGAGGGACTACATTTGGGCTAACTGGTCGTTCAATTTGTACCAGGTACCTCTCAGACTCATGCCCGGATGAGAAAGGTTGGTAGTTCTTTTCAAAAACTCACCTTATGCCGTTTTAGGCTTTTCAAATCCATCGATAAGTTGTGTTCAGATCTCCGCCATAATTGGAGTCGATGTCCTTTTCTGGCATACTCCTATTTACACGGTCGTATTAAGCTCCTATCACGTTACTAACATGAGTTTTGTTATTTTTAAAGCCGAAAGAGAAGCTGGGGATTGTTGCTGGACAGGAGTTACCCCGTCGTGGCCGGTGTTCCCATTATGGGAAGAGTTATCGATGGTTTAGGTATGTGGATAACCATCCGGATTCTACTCTGTACAAGATGCAAGCCCATGATTACCCGGCGCAGCATGGTTTCTACTGAGCATGCCTTTACGCAGCTACGTCCTTGACGTCTAGAACCCCCAGCACCTCAATTAGACAGCCATTCTGGTCTTAACGCATTTAGGATTTGAAAGGCTAATTGTTGTCAATAGGTTCTCCTGTTGTCTCAAGGTTTTTCCATGCGATAGGTAAGTGAAAAGTTATTTTTGAAAATGACTCTTGGACGGAGGACAATAGAGCTAACATGCACTCATAGATGTCATGACGCCGCCTCTGATCATCCAAACGAGCACGCCAACCGTATGATATGGTAAGCTGAACTTCTGCAATTTCCGTGCTTCATCTCCATATATATATTTATATATATCAACCAATTCCTGTACGATGCACTCCGCATGGCGTTTTCAATTGACTTACCTACTTTTCTCTCCGTGTAGCGGATTCTGCTCCCGCGAACAAACATACCGTCCTGAGAGCTGTGGCATCTGTCATTCCACTCTCATCGGCAAGGCTGGCAGTGGGTTCTGGGAAGGGGGTAAAGGGACGAGAGATAAGACGAAGATGAGTAGGAAAGGTGTGTATATGCATATATTTAGTCTACTTCTTTTGATGAAAGGATTTCTTATATCCTCTTTTTGCATCTATCCAAGTTTCCCCTCGCTGACTGCAACAGATCCGAGGAAATATAAACGAAGGGGAGGGATAACGCCAAGGAATTCTGCGCAGAAAAAGTGAAGTATGCAGGGCCAAACGGATAGGCCACGTATATATTATTCCTGATATGAAATTCCACGACGTGTATGTGTATAGGAACCATTAGCATGTAGATATTATTAGTTTATTTTTGACTATAAGATTAGATGATTTTGATTCATTCTCAAATTCAATATGAATCACGCTTCACATTTCGCAGAAACTGATACATTTCCATTACTCTAGATCGCATGTCATGGTTATTAGGACGTTAGATTTGGATTTGACTTTCGAAATATATTGTCCCTGATCTTAATCCTTACATACTTAGCCTATCATACGTAAGAAGCAATTGCGAGAAATACTTGTCATTTCAGTGAGAATTGTTTGGGAAAGGGAAGAGAGATAACCGCATCTTCTGAAGTAGAGAAGGGTGTTCCTGATCGAATATGAATCCGGGTAGTCAGACTTATGGAAAGGATGAAAAGGCACGCATGAACTTTCAAGAAGCACTGCGCTTCTGATTTTCAAGGGGACAGAGGGGGCAACAAAAGGGAGAAGTAGCAGAAGGAAAATATTTGAAATGGGATGAAAGCCTAGCGTATCTACAACTGACTGACTTCATGGACTCCTCTGCGGTTTGTTTCCCCAGCTATCCCTTATTCCATAGTTTTAAAATAAATTAAAGAGACAACGTTTTGCAACCAGTAGTATGCAATTTTCAAGTACCTCAAGGGAAAAATGTGAGGGGTAGTTATATCTGGAATGACATGGTTCCATCTCTGTCGATGACATGCAAATCAGCTGCAACAGAGCAGCAAGCAGCGCTCATGGATGTAAAATTGAGAGAGACTTGAGAGAAATCCCATTTAGCAGAGCACATCCAATAAGTTAAACATGTTGTGAAGTTTAATTCATACCATCAGAACCCTGTTGCTTGTCTCTTGAAGCTCTCAGGGTTAGTCCACCAAGATGATTGATATATGACGCAAAGGATAAATGTGACTGAATTGGCATTAGCATAACATTTTGGCATTGCATTATACAAATTTCATGCAAGCTGGGGCCAGTTGAATGCATGTTGAATTAGGGATTGAAGTTGTCAAGAAGATCTCTGAAGGTGTTTTGAGGTTGGAATTTCATCTCTCCTCCGATTAAGATTCTTTACTCATTTTGCAATTCAAAATTTAACTTTTGAGATCTAGCACAAAATAAGGGAAATCAATGAAGCATTTGATTGAACTACTTGTCACCTTTCTATCTTCATCATTCTATGAAGTATTTTCTTTCAAAAAACATGACCCTTTTCTTTTGAAACAGAGAATTACATCTTCAAATTCTGACAAATAATGGGATGAAATCTCCTTTTTTAGAGATTTTTCTTCTTGAAAGCCCTTTTTCTCATAGAATTGACGTATAAGAGTGTCAGGGTCCGAAGTCACATGACGCTAAAACAAGAACGGGCTGGACGTTGGAATCTCCGCGGTCTACAATGACTATCTCAACAAGGTGGTGATATTGATGGCTTTTGAAACAGCTCATATTAGATATCGCCGGCAAAATGTCTTATGCACTGGCTACGAAGAAGCGCAAATTCCACAGGGTCCTCGATTCGTTATCCGGTGCCAACGCTCAGAAACCTCCCCATGCAGATTCTTCAATTTCGACAACAAATGACAATGTCCCGCCAACAGCTCCATTGTCCGCCGAAATAAAGTATCCAACTATCAAAAAGGTACGGCTGGCGTCGTCGAGCTCCGTACCTGACTCACAAAATATGATCGTCAGGAAGTCCGTGTCTAATATATCCAGACATTTGTCGCCGTCATCATCGCCGTCGCAACATCGGCCAAACTTCGTCCCTTGGGATCGGGAGCGGTTTCTCGAGCGGCTTGAAACGTTCCGTAGGGTTGATCGGTGGTCTCCAAAGCCAGCGCCTATAAATGAGGTTCAATGGGCTAAGCGCGGGTGGTCTTGCGTGGATGTTATGAGGGTGGAGTGTGTTGGCGGCTGTGGCTGTTCTGTTGTTGTGAAACTGCCGGAGGATGTGGATGTGGATGGGGATGAAGAAGAAGATGATGATAAGTTTATAGAGCGGAGGGAAGTCCGTACGTGTTTCCCCGTCCCCCAAACACCGTTAGATTTTCCACTATGTGAACTTTCACTGAACTACCTACAATAGAGGCTAGACTGGTGGAGGAATATTCTAAACGGATAACAGATGGCCACGCAGAACGGTGTCCATGGCGGAAAAGTGGTTGTGATGGTGAGTTTTTTACCTTTAAATGAAGGAAGGAAAGACATTCAACTCAAGATATACTAACCATTTTGCATTTAGACACTATCCAACGGTTAACACTTACGAACCCAGAGACCGCTGTAAAGAGCTTACAGAAGCGCTACGTCAATCTTACCTTCCTTGAATCGAAATTGCCTCCCATGGAAAATATCGCAAAGCCTGATGGACTAGATTTGGATGATATTGCCAAGATGTTACCGCCTACTTTTCTAAGTTTTACCCAGCACGATAAAACTGGGGATGCTACCCAAGCTCGACCCGAACAGCCCGCCGATGCGCAAGGTAATCAAGACGGAGGACTACCTCAGGTTAGAGAGAAGATCACTACGGCAGCACTTGTACTTGCAATTTTTGGATGGGATGCGTCGGGTGAAGCTGGTGCTGATTTGGCAAGCTGCAGAGCCTGCTTTCGTCGACTTGGACTGTGGATGTATAAGCCAAAGGAAGACGGGAGTATACCTGTGTACGACAAGCTGGATGTTGTCAGTGAACATATGGATTACTGCCCATGGATCAATTCAAAAACGCAGAGTGGAGGCCGGAAACCTGTCTTTCATGGGCCCAGCGGGAAACCTCAGAGTGGCTGGGAAATCGTAGACCAGGCGATCAAGACGATGCATCGTCGACGAACGAGATGCGACGCCCCATCGACTGGCCAGGGTACCCCTTCTAACCTGGAGCCAGCGAACGTTGACGATGAAGGTGAATCGCGGCAACTGCAGGACAGAGAGTGGTGGGCTAAATTGCGGAGAGTGAGACAATCTCTCCTAGTAAAGGGACCTAAAAAGCCGAAGTAGAATAAGCTGCTGGGTATTGGAAGAATTTTATACCGCCGTTACGGGGTTATTTTGTGATTTTTTGATATCCTAAGTGAGATTCGCGTTACGCATATTTATTCGACGATTTTGATTTATTCCCACACGTATCCTATACCAATCATGTTTAATTAGCATTCAGCATTGACATTCCAATTGAATTATCATCATCTTTTATGTGTTAGTTATGTACAAACATGTTAACGTAATCCTACTACAGAGTCGGCCACCAATATCACCGTATAGTAATTAGATAAATTTTAACCAGAAATATCTACGCTCAACTACCCCTAATTAAATTGGATTAAATTACACTAGGTTCAGTGCATCTTATTCTTGTATGCCTGAGCGTGCCGCAATTGCTGCATCTTGTGGTGCTCATATGCGTGATCTAGATTCTGCTGGCAGAGGCTCCAGGGGTTGAAGGACAGAGAGTCCAACAGACTCAGCAGGTGAAATAACTAGATCCTGAACTTCCTCTCTAGTTAAACCTCCTTGTTGGATTCTGCGAGTAGACCTCTTGCGTTTTTGCTTCTCTTTCTCATTTGCAGCAACTATATCTTGATATTGCTTCTTCATAATAGTAGTGTTGACAATTCCGTATTCACAGGCCTTGATAATTTGATCTAGACCTTTCACTAACTCCCCAGGGGGGCTCCCAATACCTTGTCCCACCAGATTCTTGACCTTATTCCGCTGCTTGTGCAATTGCCGTGGGTTCCTACGTGTTTGTAGGATCCAGAATGACTGAGAGTTGCTAGATGGACTTCCTTGCGGGGGTAGGGGTTCAAAGTTGAATATCCAACTGCTGGATAACCTGGTCGGGTTGAAATGGTGCTATTCCAGTAGCTGCAAAGCCACTTTGAATGTTCTGAGCCTTGAAAGCTTCCATATGCGCTTTAGGATAAGCATCTAAAAAATCTGCCTTCTTGATGGTATTGAACCCAAGCCGCATTCACTGTTCAACTAGACCCCTATACACTCACTTTAAAACTGCAAAAACACTCACATCTAGTGGCTGCAAGAGAAGTGACGGATGTGCTGGCATGCAGAGAGAAATAATCCTATTCCCCTTGCAAATATGGTCAAATTCTGGGGTAAGATGACTGCCGTGCCCGTCCAAAATAAGGGGGGGAGTCCCAATCCTGCTTGGATTTGCAGCAGGAATAAACAGCCTAGTAAGTCATTTAAGTCCTATCTCATCTGCAGTCCAGTCATTAGGACTAACATCAAGCCTCCACCCTCTGGAAGCCTGTCAAACCAGCCTTCCTGTAGATTCTGAACCTTGAGAATCACATACGAGAGTAGGGCCCAGCCTGACGCGTTGACTGCCTCAATCACAGTCACACATTCTCGATTTACTGGTTGTAGAAGCTTTGCCCGGCCATAGCGCTCCGCACTGGTAATGACCTTGATAGTTGCACAGAGCCCCATTGCAAATCCAGTCTCATCAAAGTTGTAGATATCTTCAGCTTGAACCTCATGCTCAGCAATTGCATCCCCCAGAGTCTTAAACCAATCATGAATAACCCTTATATTCTCACATTTTGCTCGCTTATGATTATAGCGTCTGGAATAGCGGCACTGGAGCTCCATACGTCATTTAATCAGCTTATAGACCCAGTTCTTGCCAACGCGGGGAGGGTAGAGGTGGAATGCCGTAGGGTAAGAAGATGATTAAGACATATTCTCAACAGATGCCACCCGGGGGAGGAGGGGGGGGGGGGGGGAGGGGGTATTCCTCATTTGCTAGGTCAAGAATCAACTGAACTAGCAGATTCTCTTCTGCTCCAGTTAATGTAACTGAATTTGCGCGTAAATTCACCCTTCTTAAGTCGATCCTGCAGAGCAGTACGAGGCACCTCATAAAGGCGTGCAGCTTCATAAATTGAGGTTATTTCATGCTTTTTAAAAGCATTTATCACGCGTTCCAGTCTTCCCTCTATCTCTATAGAGTTTCTAGCATTTTTACAACGAATTGGTGGCATAATTGCGCGTTGAAGCGGTTTAATTAGGAAACTTCAAAACATTTTGAATTTGGCGGCCCTAGCGAGGGTTTACGATATTATTACCTAAGCAACCTCCATCTAAACACGTGATCATTTGAAAGTTTGATGTCTGCGTCTTTTGAACATCAGCTGCTCTCAGGATCGAATTAGACAAACCATAATTATATAGAGGCACGGCTGCGCACACTACCGTGGACAGGAGACCGGCGTCTATGACAATGTACGATCCGGCGCGAGACACATATACCGTCTCTGATGATGCGCCCCCACTCGACAGCGTGGAAGATCGCCACAAAGTTCACGGACTAGACCAAGATAAGCAGCGGAACGACGGAGTCTTGCAGTCTCCAGGATCTGCTCCCTCCCATAATGAAAAGAACAAGAGGAAGAGCCCTATAAATGAGTCTTCTAAGGTAAGATATGACTCGGTTTATGAGGTTAATTACGTCACGTTATTACTTGGACGCGGCATTTTAATCCATGCATCGGCCCCTTTTGATTTGGGTCTAGTTATTTCTTCCCTAGCTTTAGGGCGCGGTGGGACTGATCCGGACCTTGGCTTGGTTTGTTTGTGGACTGACTCCATTATTCCTCCACTCATCAACGCCACAGGAACCTATACGCGGTAGCCGCTCCAAACCCGAAAGAAGCTTTTCTTCGCCTAGCAATAATAACAATAACCCTCTTGAGCACACCCATTCAACAACAGCAGCAGCATCCGGCAAACTGATCCCTTCCCCCCCTTCCTCAGTTTTAATGGGGTCTTCCCCGGTGATAGCAAACGGTAAATATTTAAATACCTTGACCCACTGGGATATGCGGGAAATAGTAACTCTCTGATGGTTTCCACCGTCCAACAGATGAACTGCCAATTAACGAGCAACGACCTTCACAAAGCCCGAAGACCTCTCCTAACCAGTTAATCAATAATGGGCATTCCAATGCCCCTGAAGGGCCCCCAAAAGGCAAAGCTTCCATCAACGAGAAAAAACGAAAGCTTTCCGAGAACGAGCCACAAACCGACAAAACAGAACCCGCCCCGGAACAACGGCCATTATCCAAGCGTAAACGGCAGGAGGAGCGATTACAAAAGAATAGAAAACGCGGCAAGACTCCGCCATCAGCATATTCGCGTCGAGACCGCTCTCCCACACCTCCCCCCCGTCGTTCTCCATCTCCGATACGTCGTTCGGCTTCTCCAGATGCCGTCCCAAGACCAACAAAACGACCTGGTGGCGCTGCTCGGATTGGCTCTGCGAATCTCGAAGCACTGAGGCGGAGACAAGAGGAACGAGAACGACGGAGAGAAGAGGAAGCTAAGCTGGCTTTGAAAGATCGAGGTGTTCATGATGTCGTTCGGCAACATTACAACGCGGTGCCGGAAAGAGGCAGGGAATGGCGGAAGACTGATAGCCGAATAAAAGGACTGCGAAGCTTCAACAATTGGATTAAGAGTACCGTTATCCAGAAGTTTTCACCTGATGAGGACTTCTTGTCACGAACAAGCGGGAAGAACTGGGCTGGCGCAGAGCCGGCGGAAGAAAAGAAATTGCTCGTCATTGATATAGGATGCGGGAAGGGAGGAGATTTGGGTAAGTGGCAGCAGGCACCGCAACCGGTGGACCTCTACGTGGGCTTGGATCCTGCAGAGGTTTCCATTGAACAGGCTCGCGAGAGATACATTAGTATGAAAAGTGGGAAGGGCAGGATAGGTCGCAGAGGCCACCCTCTCTTCCATGCAGAATTCTATCCCAAGGATTGTTTCGGGGAGTGGGTAGGCGATATCCCTATCGTACAGCGGGTTGGGATTGACGGCAGCGTTGGACCCGGTGGATCCATGATGGCGGCCCGCTGGGGAGGCGGCGGATTTGACATTGTTGTGTCGATGTTTAGCATGCACTATGCCTTTGAGAGCGAAGGGAAGGCTAGACAGATGCTGCACAATGTGGCCGGGCTGCTAAAGAAAGGCGGCCGCTTCATCGGTGTCGGGCCGAATTCTGACATTCTTAGTGCGAAGGTAGTGGAGTTCCACGAGAAGAAGAAACAGCAGGAGGCTGCTGCCGCCGCTGCGGCTAAACTTGATGAAGGCGGGGAGCGTGAGGACGGCGAACTGGAAGAAACGCCGATGACGGTGCCTGAGTGGGGAAATAGCATTTACCGCGTTCGTTTTCCGGGAGAGACGCCTGAAGATGGCATTTTCCGTCCTGCGTTTGGTTGGAAATATAGCTACTTTATGGAAGAGGCTGTGGAAGAAGTTCCGGAATATGTCGTGCCCTGGGAAGCTTTTAGAGCGTGAGTAGGGTGGTTCTTGGAATGAGTGAGACTGTATCTTTTTGGCTAACACGTTAATTCCTTTCCAGTTTGACGCAGGATTACAATCTGGAACTCCAGTATCGCAAGCCATTCCTGGATATTTGGAAGGAGGAAAAGGACGATCCCATTTTAGGGCCACTCAGTGAGCGAATGGGAGTTCGGGCGCGAGGCGGCGGGCCCCTTCTCGTCACCGATGAGGAGTTGGAGGCTGCAAGTATGTTATTTCTTTCGTTTGTCCTGTTGGAAACTCCATGATGCTGACGGGGCTGCTCTAGGTTTTTACCATGCCTTTTGCTTCTACAAGGTCTAAAGCTCCAATAACTTTACCAGACACTTTTGCTTCGTATTCTTCTCTGGTTCTTGCTGTATATCAACTGTTTATACGCTTCGCTTCCCTGCTCTTAGCGTTTTGCCGAAGCCATGGTCGACGTTTTTATCACTCGCTCAGGCGGTCTAGTGTTCTATTTAGCAGTGTTGTACTCTGTACTTACACAGCTGCAATCCACATTCAAATATTTTAGTAACAAAAATTTGGCACGTGTAGTCAGTTAGAATGGGGCTTAAACGATCTTTCTATGAATTTACGCATATAAATCTTCTAAATTCTTAGCGGTATGAAGTTGTAGAAGGTATCCCTATCCATATAAAATATCGACTTTTGAAGCTCAGGCGTTTCTACGTCACGTGAACAGCAAGAAGAGCCGCCTTCCAGAAATAGTTTAGTGCCATCGCGTCACGTCCCCGTATTTCTCTTTTGCTCCTCAGTAACTCAGCATATCTTCTACAAAGTACAGCGCCATTTATACGGAGGCCATGGCGTCCCCAGCAATCACCCACCGCACCATTCGCATCAGAGACCGTTACGATGACCCTCAACAATCCAGATCCAACAGACCATCCCGGCGCTCTAATGTCCAGGGGCGCCGCAGCGACCAACCCAGCCAGCGTATCCTTCAAATGCCCCCCTATCAAACCCAGGTTGCCCCATTTAATGCCGCTGCAACGCACAAACTGGGCATGTTGCCCAACTTCGAACGACTGATGTCGCTGCGCAAGCGCCTGTCTGAGGCAGCCAGTGTATTGACGGATTGTGCGGGGATGATTAATGACCGACTTGTGGATGCTAAAGTGAGGGAGGCGAGGGCGAAGGCGGTGTTGCAGAAGAAGAGGAAGGGTGGTGGGGATGAAGAGGTTGGAGTATATGAGAGCCGGGAGTCTGATGGGGGAGGTGAAGCGGATGGGCAACAGGAGGAAAGAGAAAATAAGAAGATTGCGTTGATGGAGGAGCAGGTGAAGACGTTGACCGGGCAGTTGGAAGAGCAGATGCGCAAGATTGTTGATGCGGAGGTGAGGACGGCGGAACTGACGGATGGGTTGAATCGGTTGCATCAGGAGGCGCAGGAGGCTATGGCGGCGGCGCCAGAGGCACGACAGGCGAAGCGGAGAAGGACGAGGCAGAGAGCTGGGCAGGAGAGTGGGGATGAGAGTGGGGATGTGGATGTGGATGTGGATGGGGATGGGGATGAGGGTGAGGGTGAGAATGAGCCTGCTGCTGATGGAAGAGCTGGGAGGCCGGACGGTGGTGCTTGCAAGGTACTGCGGAAGGATCTGAAGGAGAAGAAAGATCAATGGAAGGATTTGTCGTTGACGGATCGGTATGCTTCCTGAACCATTTTGAATACCTACCGGGATATGTTTATTCATATACTAATTTTACCCCAGGTACACCAAAAACAACAACTACATCGAATTCTTCCGCGTGGTGCACGAAACACAGCATCCCGGCGACGAAATACCTCCACTCCCCCACCCGTCGACCTGGTTCGCAGACAAAGAACATCCACAACAACGGAACCACCACCAGCAAACTACAGCTGCAGAGGAAGACGCAGAGTCCTCTGATGACCTAGCCGTTCGTGGCGAACGCGTCTCCCTCCGCTGCCCTATTACGCTGCTCCCCTTCTCAGAACCAGTGAAGAGCAAGAAATGCCCGCATAGTTTCGAGCGACGCGCGATCGTCGCGATGCTAGAGCGGAGCAAGGAGCGGGTTACTGTTCCTAACCCGAATCGACCTGGCGCGGGGCGTCGTGTTAATTGCGTAAACTGTCCTGTGTGTACGGTGCAGATTACGCAGTTTGATCTGGAGGTTGATATTGTGGCGGCTAGAAGGATTAGGAGGGCAGAGGAGAGGAGAAGAAGGGATGCGGAGGATGAGGACGACGACGACGGCGTTGTCATGAATCAGGCGGGGGAGCGGGGGAATACGAGGGTTAAGCTATTGAGGGCGGAGACGAGGGAGCCTAGCAGGCTGCCTGATACGCAGATGGATGATGTAGATGATTGATTGGTTATCTTCTTTATTCATTTTCACTCCGCCTTCTCACCTTGCAATGGGAATTTGATTGTTCTCATTCTCCCCTTCACAACCAATGTAATCTTGAATGAAAAAACTCATACCCTTTTCTGCCTAATATTGACTGTCATCTCTGTTGTTGCCATGCTCAACCCCTTCCCCTTCGATAAACATTTGTACAATACTTAGGTTTGTATGGGTTCATCAATATATATATATATATATCTTCATTTCATTTCTACCCACAGCCGATCATAGAACTGTATGTATTATCTCAACTAGCCCCTAAATTCGAAGGTAAAAAAGAAAGGAAAAAAAATTAACCACCCCCCACATTTTACCCAGCACAGATCTGAACAAGAAGAATTGTGTGTTGGCATTCGCGTGATTGCATGAGTGGGAATCGTGAAACATGGTAGAAGCAGAGAAGATAGTAAATGATGAAAAGAAATGAAAACGAATTAAGACCATAAGCGGAATTGAACTTCCACTATATTTTCCGTGGTACGGGAAGCAGAATAATTGCTCCATGTAAGGCAATGAATAGAAACCATCATGGGGGATATCGTGAATATGTTGGGATACACGGGATTTGGTGGGTGAAGGAAAGAAAGTAAGACAATAGAAGCCGGGGAAGCAAACAAAAGAACAATCCATGAATCTCTTGCCATGCGGTCAAAGCGCCCTGCGGAACGAAAGACATAATGTTTTATTTTATGTGTGTGTGTGTGTGTGTGTGTGTGTGTGTGTTTTCAGTCTCTTTTTTTCAATTTTGACGGTTTTCTTATCGACATTTTCTTATATTATTCGCTTTTTAACTATTTCCTTTCTTTTCCTTTTTAGGTGATGGGGCATGATGAGCCGTGGAGAGGGGCGGGTTTGGGGTTCTCATTAACGCGGAATGATTTCAGGATCTGAGAGAGAAGTGCCGGATAAGAGGAAGAGGGGAAGTTTGCATTAATAATTTTATTATTATTATTTTTTGGGATCTCTTTTACCGAGTAATTAGGTTGAGACAATCGAGGACGATAAGCGTCACCATCCTGCATTCAACAATGGTTTGTTAGCGAGATTATATAACTAACCAGCAGAGTGGGGCGGAAATTTTGTTCCAAAAGCACAAAGGGTAAGAAAAAAGCAACAAAGTGTAGGAAATGGGGGTTGAACTCACGCATGGGGCGCAATGCGAACGTAATACGTCCCAAACCCACGATAGAATCTCAACCACCCCTCATCTTTGATGACCTTTCTGGCACAGTCCAGCATACCACGATACGGCAACTGTCCCGTCTTCGGATCCTTCTGCTGCTTCTGCAAGCGCGTCTTTACAAAGTCGAAGGGCAGGGACATGAAACTTGCAAAGAATCCCGCGATAGCGGAGGCCGCGAAAGTTCTATTCTGCGCAGACAGGTTCGTGTGTGCTTCTAGTTGAGACTTGGATTCAGCGAAGAATGTCAGCTGACCGAAATTCAGCGCCATGGCGCGCACGACAGTTGGTAACGCGCCGGCCCAGAGGGCTGCGATTCCCTCTGACTTTGAAATACGGGATAGCGCATCGATGACGGACCGGTAGTTTGCTCTGGCTTCTTTGGGCTTGAGGCCGTCGGATTGCATGCGGATTAAAGCTAGATCTGCGGGATTGCCGATCATGGCTGCTAGTCCGCCAGCTGCGAGGCCTGCAGCTGCGCGTTCGGTGAAGGTGACTTTCTTGCCCGCTGCATCGGCGCGGGACTTTAGAGTAGTGGAGAACGTGTCGAAGAGACCTAGGCGGGCTGTTGTGTAGACGGCTTGTCGAAGGAGGCCGGCAGAGAGACCGGTGTAGAGGTCTAGGACTTTCCCGGAGGCGATGATTTGCTTTGCGATGCCTAAGGCGGAGGGGCGGGGACCTGTTCGGGCGCCTTCGCCGGCTAGTTGGAGGCGGACTTTCACCATGTCGATAGGCTGGATGACGGCGGTTGCGGTCATGCCGGATATACCCCCGTTGATGAAGGGGAGGAGGGGGCCAATGTAAGAGTTGTGGAAGATGGAAGAGGAATTCTCCGAACTGGATTCAAGTGACGATTTGGGGGAATTATTGGTGGCGTTGGCCGGTGTGGATGAGGCAGCCATGGCGGGAGGTAGGACTTGGGCTACTTGAAAGAGAGGGATGGGAGAAACGAGTCCACAACGAACGTGCACGATTTTCCTCGAGCTCCTGCTGCAGATGAAGAAGCAGTCAGCGCTATGCGTATGCTGTTAGTAGTACTCCGTATGCCTGGGTATATTTGTCTGATGCCCCGCAATAGACCTTGGATCACGTGGTGATCGCCGGTATCTACTCGGAGGGGGAATAGCACAGTCTCCCCATTCCCTTCCCCTCCCCCCCCTCCGCCCCTTTCCCCGCGGGCCACTGACCACAGCATTGCAGATGGAGCACAACAGGAGAGAGAGAATGAGCAGATGGATTACCGAACAACAAGGCAACTCACGGTAGGCAGATGGAAAAAGTCGGAAGAAGAATCTCCGCGAACTGAGCAAGCAGGAGAAGAGAAGAGAGGGAAAGAGGGGGTGAGATCGCGTGAGATAGACGGGTAGTGGGTGTTGAGATGGGTAACAGTTAATCAGCGGGGCGGAATGGGGCAGATGCGAGGATGATCTGGGTTGAGATGGTGGAATAGGGAGAGGAGGGAGAGGGAGGAGGACGGGGGAAGAGGGTTAAGACCGAGTAATGGAGATGAGGATGAGGATGAGGTTGAGGTTGAGGTTGAGGTTGAGGTTGATAGAGAAGATGCAGTCGATTGATTATTAACTGTGTTGAGGCGGTAGCGAACGCGGGGATTGCGGAAGAGAGTCACTCCAAGGTACCTGCAGGTAGATTTGACATCATGGCTCAGCAAGGGCTCAGCAAGGGCGCACCGCAAGGGCACGGTATCGATTACCAGGGTTCTGAACGCAGCCTGTTTTCCCTGGATGGGTATATTTCGGTTATGTATCCGGGTATGACGATCCCATCTGTCTCTAGCTAATCGTAGTTACTAGTCTCAAGCTATGGTTAAGTAGTTAGCTATCTACCGTTATGGCTGCTGCTGTCTGGTTGTCGTGCGACGGGGGGGAATGGTTGTGTGGATGTACAAGATACCTCAGATATACCTGTGAGCTACCTGCACCGAGGAATGCGGGGTAAGAAGGTTAGCTCATTGGCCTCTGATTTGTTTATGAATTTCCTATTTAATCCGTTCCCATGATTATTTCGACCGTTGCGATATCTCTCGTCTTTCTTATCAATCTCTATTTTCTATTGGATTTCTACCGCAAAGCACTATTATTCTCTTCTGTTCTATCTTCGATGTCAGCGCCCTTGAAAGGCTTGAACCAGCTAACTAACTCTTAACTAACCGACCCCGATCTCAGCCCCGCATATTCAGCGTCTCCTCCCCTTCATCACACCTCACCCCACTCTCTATCATCTCCACACTATTATTCATTCATTAGTTTATTATTACTATTCCCTTCAACAATTCACGACATTACTTAATATCGGGTTCATAGCATGGCCTTTCTCTAGAAAGTCACACCACAGCCTGCAGTGAGAACAATGACACAGTAGATCTCTATCACCATCATTCTATAACCGCTTAATTACATCGGTATTTAACTAGCTACAATTTGAGAAAGAAAAAAAAAAAAAAGTTCAAGGACCTAGTGCTGGAAATGAACATCCTTAGATATCCGAAGGCAGCTCCATGTCTCCGAACCTACATACCCTTTTCCCCTCAGAACGGCACTCTGGCACTCAGGCATTCCATGTCTCCGTCCGGGCCCCGCTGATTAGCTCTCACTATGCTCCCAACCAGCTGGAATTCAACTCCCGAGCCATCTCCGCAAATTGACCGCGTGCTGCCAACAGCTATATTTTGTCTGCGTTTGCCGGCAGTGTTGTAATTACCGGGCCCAGCTGGACCTTGAACGACCATTGTTTATATTGCTATGCAAGCAGGCTGGCAGGAAGCTTCGGGGGAGAAAAAATGGATAAATATTCTACATCCGGCTTGAGTGCTTCCATCCACAGTGGACAACATGCACAGGGAGTATCGTGTCAACCCTTGTTCACAGTATATCAAATGGTCATGTCGTCTCTATTTCTATTTCTGTTCCTATGTTCTTGAAGCCCTTTTCTCTTCCCTTTCTTTTCCTTCACTTTTACTCGACGGCATATCTAGCTGGATGAGTTCTGCGACGGAATTGCAGCCGTCTGCAACCATGGTAGGATCTATTACTCTTGTAGATAGGTTTCTAATGATGAACCATAATCGTGTAGCCAATTTTTCATGGGATTTCTCTCGTATCATGATACAGAATCCATCTCTTTCCAGAAGACCATCTTCTGTCTTATTTCTTTTCTCGTTGTCCTTGCGATGTTGTGATTATTTCCCCTCTCGTTTTCCTTCCTTTGGCTTCTACTTCGGCATTTACTTCGGCTTTCCATGATAGTTAGTTAACCCTTTTTCGTTTCTTGTTGACTGGATGGAGGCCGTCGTTTCGTTCCACCCCACCACATCCGATCAGTAGTACCCATTTCCATACATCAAGCAACGCAAGACCAGACTCAACAGATCGGATGAGAATGGAACAATACAGATATTCCTCGCTTATATCATTTGTCATGGCCGACCTCCAGTGTTGACGGTGCAGAATTGCAGATTTGCAGAGATGCCATTGCACCAATCAAAGCCCCCATTCGCCTTATCTTCCCCGATTGAACGAGAGCAGCAGATGGTAAATACGACCGTCGTACGCGACTGTTTACTTAGAGCCAGTAACAGTCGATCGCAGGCGTCAGGGTATCCAAGTTTCTGCGTTTTATGGTCAGTATTGTTCCAGGCATGGGGATATGAGGGCTTTGCTCCGTCCCTCACTCCCCTGTAGTATGGGGTATGCTCAGAGAAGAGAAAAAGGAACAAGCGAACAAAATAATACCTGATTAGAAAATACGGAGTGATTCTCGGATGAAATGGCTGGATTCCTCCATTCCTCTTTCTGGGTTAGAGGACTAGATCAGCCGCGCAGGCGGCCTTGATTTGACCCGTCTTTGTCATATTCTTTACAATCCGCAAGAGACTAATAGGCAGAATGGGTTTCGATGTTAGGATCAGGTTGTGTTGCTTTCGCCCTGCCCCCCTGCTCTGCACTGAGTGCACATGAAGAAGCAGATGCCACGACTAAAACGACTCTCCAACTCACATCCAATGGGCAGCAGAGTTCCCGCTCGCCAGTCGGAAGACACCCTTCTGCGCCCGGATCTCTACCTGTACGTGCACATGGGGGCATACAGTCAGCAATGAGCACCATTGGAAAACGACCAACACTCAGGGCAGAAAGCAGGACTAAATGAATATATTCCCACCCGAGGGAAATTACATACACATGTAACCCCAAAATGTATCTGATGCCAATTGGGGAATGGCGTTCTGGCAGCAGAGGAGACGATAGTAGTCGGGACATTCGCTTGTGGGACGCAGCTGTAGAACCATGGCAGTTGCTAGATGGATAACGGGGGAGAGGTAGAAGAGAAAGACGACGGGGAGGGAATTTGGGGATGAAAGCATTTTAATGCATGGGACAGGGAGGATAGAATAGTGAAATGAGATGGGTAACGATTTTTTCTTTGATCCCTGCGGATTTATTCTCCCCTTCAGCTCTGTCTGTCCTCTCTGTCTGCTGGTATATAACTATGTATGTGTAGGTATGTTAACCGGCTGCCTCCTGCACCATGGCGATTCAAGTCATATATTTAAACTTGAACTAGCTGCTCCAACAAGACTCCTTGTAACCATTATTATAAGTCAAGTAAGAAGAAGCAAGCCTTTTCAAGACAATCGTACTGGCGCTTTAGCGCTGACTTTCTCCCTAGATTTTATATCTCCGCTCTGCCCCGTAGATATTAATGATGAGTTAATTACCGTCCAACCAGATTTCTTCGTATGGCGTGCTCAACCCAAAGAGCAGTCGGCCAGCTGAGAGCGCGTCGTCACCTAGGTTGGGTGGTTGGTTGTATCGATTCATTTACTACCAGCACCTCCCCTGAAACCCGAATCAGCAACCCTTGATTTGTCTTTCTATTTGATGGATAACTATCCCGTAATCCGTGCCTATAGCAACTGTCCTACCGACGATGCACGGAGTTTGCAGCTTGAAAAATGAAGAAAGAGATAACTATACAGCAGAGAGCACGCTGGCGGGTTGAGCTCATTTCATGCGTTTGAACTAGTTAGTTGCGGCGACGAAGGTAACTAGTTATTAGTTTGAGTTAAATGTGCTAGTTAATTATTCTTAGTAACTATCTCACTAACTATGAAAAACCGCTTTTCACCATTAAGTGCCTGAATGGTTGGTTGACGGCTTGCAAAACAAGGAGACCCTCAATGAACCAGCTTACGGACATTGGCACATATGATCGGGTATGTAGAATAGGACAGGGGGCAGAATAATAACCTAGCAATTTCACGGTATTAAGTTCGCATAGAAGTTTCATCGGATGCATGAATAGTTAGTGACCCCTAGGCCTTCTAAAAGGGAGCTGATTAAGCGCTCAGATACAACATTTGGGCCCGAAGATAACTAGCAAGTGCCCTGGTGGTATCTGCAGTAGTTACGCGGTTTCAGATCGTCTCCCATCTCACCGGCATTGTTTAATATAGTTACTTGCGGATATCTCCGAGAGGTGTGCTTTCAAGGCCCTTTCAAATGCGGCTCATACTCCACAACGAGGGAAACGCTTAGCTCAGACTGCCTGGCTTTGAGGGAATCGGAAAACGCTGAATTTGTTTCCCGCTTAGTTATGAACTGATTGGGTAGTTATATCCCGCTTGTTTCAGGGATTTGACCATCCTGGTTGATTGAACACAGCCAGATTTTTTAGGTGCTCAGATTGCTTGATTAACGTAATCAACCACCCAACGCCCGTTTACACCCAACGCCCGCTCAAATCTTCATTTTTCATTCATCTTTAACCACCCACAACATGCACCACGAAGCAGTTATACAAGCCGCGATTGATGATTTGAACGCGCAATTAACGCCTAATTACACTGAGACCGCTAAAAAATATGGAATCAGCCGATATATGTTGTCAAGGCGTTATAGAGGTGTTCAAATGTCAAGAAAGGAAGCAAGCTCTATCCACTGCAAAGCTCTCACTGATTCGCAAGAAAAACAGCTCCTTTTTCATATCAATCAATTGGCAGATTGCAGTTTCCCTTGTACGCCCCAAATCCTTCATAATCTTGTTGTTGAGATTCTAAAAGCACCTATTGGAGTCAACTGGGTGGCTCAGTTCTGTGAGCGCCACAAGGATGTGATCAAGTTGCTCTACCTGCAAAATATTGACCAAAAATGCAAGATTGCAGACAATTCTGCATACTTCAAGCATTATTTTGATCTTGTAATAGATTTCTTTCTTATACTGCTTTTTTAATTCTCATCTTGCTAATTTATCTTAATTTTTCAGCTGCAGGCAAAAATCACGAAATACAACCTTGAACCTTGCGAATATCTACAATTTCGATGAGAAAGGATTCCTATTAGGATTCATTCACACCCTCAAATGTATTGTATCAATTAATTCGCTCAAATCAGGCTGTATGATAGGTGCCAGCCAGGATGGCAGTCGAGAATTCATAACACTACTTGCCTCAATTTGCGCAGATGGAACTTCACTCCCACCTGCTCTCATATATCAAGAGGAATCAAGAGATATGCAAGATACTTGGCTCAAAGATTTTGATAGTGAAAAGGATCAGGCCTACTTCACTGCTTCAGAAAATGGGTGGAGCAATGATGAATATGGGTTAACATGGTTAAAGAAGATCTTTGAACCTCTTACAAAAAAGAAGGCAGGCCGCAGATATAGACTTCTTATATTGAATGGCCACTCATCCCATGTTAATATGGCATTCATCAATTACGCAGATTGGAATCGAATTATACTTGCTGTCTTTCCTCCCCATTCTACACACTGATTACAGCCACTAGATGTTGGGATATTTGGACCATTGGGTAAATCATATTCCAAACAACTGAATGAACAAATGAGAACTGGAATGGGATTCATATGCACTACAAAGAGGTCTTTTTGGCAGCTTTTTGACACTGCGTGGAAGGAGGCAGTTACATCTTCAAATATTGAAGCTGCATATGCTGCTACTGGCCTACATCCATTCAATCCGGAACACATTCTTAAAAAGCTTCAAATACGACCTTGCACCCCCCCTGACGCAATATATCAACCAAGAACACCTACTTCTATTGTTGGCCTGTGGAAATTGGTGAAGCAAGTCAAGCAACAGCAGCATCAAGTATCTAATGATCTCAACTGGGTGATCCGTGCAGGGGAAAATCTTGCTCTTGATAAAGAGGTTCTTTTAATAGAGAATCAGCAGCTTCAAAAAGCTCTTAATCAAGAGAGGAGACATTGCAAGTGTGGCAGGGCAATGGGGTTGCTAGATCCCTTGAATCCATCATTGACACAGTTCTTCTCGCCAGCAAAGGTGCAGAGCATCTGTGAGAATTTGGCTGCCTCAGAGGTTGCCAAAAAGGATGAGCAAGCTTGTAAGGAGGATGCAAAACTGCAATACACTATTCTTAAGGAACAGAAGGAGGCAGATATCATCCAGCAGAGGATGGAGCGGGAGGCAGCTCGCCAGGCCACAAAACAGCAAAAGGAAATGGATAAGGCCGCAAGAGCTGCTCAACGGCAGATTGACAAGAAGCTTAGAGATGAGAAAAAGACTCAGGAGCAAAAAGAAAAGGAAGAATGAGCTGCTGTACAGCTACAATCATGATTGAATAAGAAGATGATTAAAGAATTCAAAAATCGCCTTACTAATCAGGAAAGTAGACCCTCGATTTCGCAAAGAGTGGCTAAATCGCGTTTTCAGAGCCCTGCCAGGGTGCCCACAGATCCACTGCCAGAGGGATATGATGATATTGCAATCTCTACTGGTTTAATGACTGCTTGCTCACTGAATCTGCCTCCACCCAAGATTTCATGTTCTGGGCGAGTTATTAAGCCAAACAAACGTTTGCTGAATTAGCTATATATTTTTATATGTAATTTTCTATATATATTTTCATCCTATAATATATCATCTTAAAATCTAATTGCGTTGTTGAAATAACGTTGAAAATATTTCATCATAGTGATGGCGAAATGGCGGGCGTTGGGTGTAAACGGGGCGTTGGGTGGTGGATTACGTTATATTCACTACATGATTTCCTTGCTTCTCTCACAGTGCGTGCCCTCTCTACATTTATTCTATTGCTCACCACTCCCGTTAGTTAGTTACCTCTTTCTCCTCCGCCTAATTGGTATGACAAATGAGGATATCATGGACACTATCAGCAGCAAACTTTGCCGTGTTGGCAATTCAAGTGCGGGCACAGTGCATGCGCTGTGCATCTCTTGTCTCACATCCTCAAGTATCGCGCCGAAGACCCCCAGATGATATTGCCAGCAGTTCATTCTTGAAAAGCAATCATCTTATTTCCATGATGCTTTGTATTCTGGAGTAGATTGTGTTCCAAAAGGAATAGGCGGGCAACTTGTAACCGGGTTAGGCATCCCACCAACCAATACCAGCAGCTGGGAAAGGAGATGAAACTAATTTTCTAACTGTAGTCTATTCTAGACATGTTGATTAGGGGGACAAGGTGTGAAAGGTGGACAGGTCGAGGGAGAACACCGCTCCTCAATCCCGTGCAGAGCCCTACGTAATGCTTGATGGTCCCATGTTCTCCTCTGAAGATGGCAACTTGAGAGTCTATGCGCACAGTCATCATAAGAAATCAGAATGCCATATAGTTTATCTCATGCTATTGCATGTTCACCGGCCAAGCTGACGGAACATCTGCCAGTATCTATACCAACTATTGGGGGAATTACGGAGCGGCAAACTGGAAATTGAATCTCGTTTGCGGAAACGGTCGCAAGATTTGAGCAGCCGTATCTCTTTTCTTAGTTAACTAATGGTTCTGGAAATTAACGTACAGAGGTGGCTAACTCGAGCTGAAATCAAACCAAGACATGAGAGACAAAATATTGACAACAGAAGCATTGGGCATCATTTGGCAGTATTCTGAACTCCATCGGTCGGTCATTCCATGATCTGAATGGGAAATGTCTCCGGATGTTCACAGACGGTTGAGTTTGCAATTAACGCAAGCACTTAATTGACACTCCTGACATCGAAAAATGAATCTTGGGAAGTAATTCATACACTCCTCGCACTGATGGAACCCTTTCACACGATTCCGGTGCTCTGTATGGGCACATTCGTGCCATTCTCCAATCCTCACTTCAGGACTCGTGATCTCTTATCAGGCCTTCGTCTATAAGCTTCAGGTTGGTGATCCCTTCCAAGAAGGCGATTCTCAACCCATAGAACGCACCGACAGGTCTTCCAAATTTTATTACAAGCATGGCAAAATTCGGCGCCGCAATGGCAACTAGTTGGATATATATAGCAGTCAGAGTCTCTGCGATGTGGTATATTCACAAGGAGATGGAACATACGTTACGTGGTTGCAGCCCGCTCTGAGTTCGATTACGCGATGGCATTTATAACACTCTTTCCAACCTTTGGCCTGAACTAGCTCCGTGAAGGCTTGCTCGATCTTATCGCCATTGCATTCCCCTGAATGTGCGGGCTTCTTGCAATGAACGCAAGTAGTTGTGCCACACGAACCGCATATAGCGACGTCGAGCTCAATCGCTTCCGCGGACATGTATAGCGAACAAGCCGGATTAGAACAGTACGTTCTGTCGGTATCGTTATATTCCGCTGACTTCTCCTGAAAGCGCTTTACCAATTCCTCACCCAAGAATGCTGCAACTCGTGAGAGGGCAATTGGCTGACGACAGCAGCGTGGGGGAAACAAAGTCACGTCGGTAAAAGATTTCTCAAACAATTTTCTTGTGCATGCTCGACAGTAGTAATGGAAGCAGGGGGTTTCGGCTATGTCGAAGAATATTTTGGTCTCCAGGCAGATTACACACTCCAAGCGAAGGGTTTCCGGTGAAAATTCATCCGTGTTGTTTTTGGAACCGCCTGCTTTGACTTGGGCTTTTGTTAGGGAAGTGCTTCTTTCACCTTCACTGCTTCCATCAGCTACATCTATCTTAAAAGACATATCCAGTGTTTTCCTCTTCAGTTCCTGCAATTCCGGAGCTTGGAGTCTGGGCACATGTTGTCCACCTCCTCCTAGACTGAGTGCTATCCACTGGTCGTTTACAGCTGCGTTTTCCTCCTGTAAGATTGCCGCGATAGCAGGTGCATCCTCCTCGACAGCTCTGCTGATGCTCCGGGCAATTCGACTATCCTGAAGAGATGCCTGAAGTGCTTCCAGATCTTCTTGGTGTATCCGTAATGCCAGTTCCTCATCGATTGATTTGCCTTCGGCCTCCTTTCCCTTTCGATTTTCAAGTGCTTCTCCGATGTCTTGCTGCAGTAATTTTATTGTGGTAATAAGGGATTCTTCGTCCATTTTGCACCAAGCGTACCAAGGGCCACGAAGAACAAACGAGACTGGGTAATGTGCCAGGGCATCAAATTAAGGAAACCTGATAGTTTTTGCCCGGGGGTTGGGGTCAATGCAGTGCTGAGCTCTGCCGTGGGTTAGTTTTTGTTATGAAAAGGAAACCTGGTGTGAAAATTTCTCACAAAGGAAGTCCGGGTAACAGCATATCTGGGCTAGTGTGTTATCTATCTCTGTTTGGGCATTCTAAGGCATATGGGGGAACCTCCGGCTAGCACAGTTTCATATCTACGGCTACCCAATTTAGGGGCTTGAGAAACAGGAGATGGCGGGGAATACAAATTCAGCAGTGATATTGAGATGATTTGGCAGGCTAGTTAATATTAAGCATTCATGTCATCTTTCTGCGTTTACATCGTTCTGATGCTAATGGTTTTCTCAGCCGAATGATCCGGCATATAGCAACGCGGAAGAACATCTCGGTGTTGGTATCTCTTGTAAATAGATTCTCAAGGAATGTTTGACAAAATATATCTTGGAGAAAATGAGATAACCAAATAGCAAGGAGAGTAGTTAGCTATACTGAGCTAGGAGAATGGCCTGTCTCCAAATCATACGAACAACATAAACTTGAAAGCATGAGGTCTTCGTGCTAGGATGGATTCGCTTCACATACCCGTTTCTCCTGCATGAAAATAACCTTTAATCCGCAGCTAACCATTGTTCAGTGCACATTGAACTCGCCAGCTTATTCCATCCATACGTGATTAAGGGAAGGGCTGCTGCTGGGCATCGCTCATTCAGCTGAAAGTTAACGACGGCAATCTTCTCCCCCCACCCAAGAATCTGCAGAAAAAGCATTGGACATCATAGTTAAAACAGAACAGAAAAAATTCGGTAAAAGGCCGATTTATTGAATTCAACAGTTGATTCCGCAGTTGGTCCGCAGTAAATATTATTGTAGGTAATGTGTCGCTGTATAAACCACGGCAAGGATGGCTAGCATCGTTACCACTGACCTCCCCTTACAACAGGAGGTACGAGCGGTAGCTCGAGATTAACAAGTCGCATTGTGGACCTGCTGTGTTGACTGCAGTCACCATGTGTCGCAATCCCAAATTCGCTAGCTAGAAATACAAGAGAAGACTGGAAGAGAGGAGAGATGAAGTCGAAAGTAGAGGATGGACGTTTCAGGGGGTGATTAGTCTGTAGTTAGTTGACTGGTTAGTTACAGAGTACAACAGATCAAACAGATCATTCAACTCCAGATGGAGTATATAAAGTCAAATGTTAAAATATCAACAACACTTGGACATATAACACCCAAGTACACAGGATTCTATGTCATTCTTTCCACAAACAAGGAATTTTGAGGGGTTAATTAACATGTGCCACTAAATGCCAATGCTGCTGCTCAATCTCTTTCTTTCTCCAGTTTTTCATTCAACAAGATTCAATAGTTGTCATTTTGTTGATTTCTGAGAGTTCTCACATCTTCCCTAGGTCTCTCGGTTCCCTCAGCTCAAATTCCATTCCCCATATGCACTTGCACATAACAACTTATCTAAAAAAAAATAAATAAGAGGAACTTTAGCCATTAATAAAAACTGTTACATTAAACTACATCGTAAAATTAAGACCAATACTTCTGGTTTTGTTTACTTTGAGATCAATCTGTGCAAGTTCCTCTGCTCTGGGAAAATCGCTCCATTTATCAACCAACCCACTTCAAGTCGGCTCTTGTATACATTATTTATGAATGTATGTACGTACCTACAAAGGAAGCTATTTAAGTAGAAAAATCATCACAATAAGAAAAAGCTATTAAAAAGGCTATTGAGGTAGGAAATATGCAGGAGGAACAGGAAACTGTAGATTAGGAATTTGAACATCTCAACAAAAGAAAACGAGGAAAAATAGTGAAAGGAACAAGAGACAGAAAGGAAATTGGAATCATAATATAAGGGAAAACGTAAAAAGGGATCTTCTGGAATACAGGTTGATGGCGGGCTAGGGGTTGGGGTGTTTTTGCTTGTGGACTTGGCAATTCACCACCACCACCACCTCCTCTCTCATCTTCACCTCCCATCTCACATAGTCATCTCTTGTCTTATTCTCGATTCTCCCAAGCCCTTTTCCTCCATTCTCACTGGTATATATATATATATATATGAAGGAGGAAACGGCCCCTCAACAACGCTCGTGGCACTTTTGCGCACCCTCTTCGTCAAAACATCCGTGCATCGATCCGTTGGAGAGAAAGTCACGCAGGAGTCGGGGTGCCATTGACCTTAGCAGGAGCAGCTCCAACACCCTTGGTGCCTTTCGAAGTAACAACGGGTGCAGCGGCGAGAACCTCCTTCGTAGCCTCACTGCTATACTTCTTGAAATTCTCATTGAACAGCACGGCCAGCTTATTCACCTCACCCTCAAAGGATGTCGAGGCGGTCCAGCTCTTCTTGGGATTCAGCAGCTCGCTGGGGACGCCAGGGCAAGAAGTAGGCACGTAAAGGTTGAAGACGTCATAGACTTCGTAGTTGGCTTTGGCGAGCTCGCCGCTGTGGATTGCGTCGAGGATGGCGCGGGTGTATTTGAGTGGGCAGCGCTTGCCACCTGTTGTGGCGCCAGCTCCGACCCAGCCAGTGTTCAGGAGCCAGGCGTTGGCCTTGTGTTCGGCGATCTTGTCGGCGAGCATGCGCGCGTAGCGCATGGGATGGAGGGCGAGGAAAGGCTGGGCAAAGCAGGAGGAGAAAGTGGCTTGAGGTTCCGTGACGCCGTCTTCTGTGCCGGCCATCTTCGAGGTGTAACCGGAGATGAAGTGGAACATTGTCTGCTCGGTGTTGAGCTTAGAAATAGGTGGGAGGACACCACGAGCATCGCAGGTGAGAAGGATGATGTTTCTCGGATGCTGATCAGCAAGGCAGGGAATCTTGGCGTTTTCAATGTATTCAATTGGATAGGCGCTGGAATTGTGTTAGCTGGAAATAAAACATTTTCAAAGACTTATTTATGGAGAGAGAGAGGTGGCATACCATCGGGTGTTCTCAGTGAGGGTGGAATCATCATAGTCGACTACTCTAGTAGTGGGGTCAAAGACGACATTCTCGAGGACGGATCCGAAACGGATGGCATTGAAAATGTCCGGCTCCTTCTCCGCTGACAAACCAATGCACTTGGCATAGCACTGTGGGTATGTTAAGTTAGACAAAATCCCAGGCATTTAGGGTTAGAATTGGGGGGGGGAACATACCCCTCCCTCAATGTTGAAGACACCACGGTCAGTCCAGCAGTGCTCGTCGTCACCAATGAGAGCGCGCTTTGGATCGGCTGACAGGGTAGTCTTGCCAGTTCCAGACAGACCAAAGAAGACAGTGACATCACCGTCCGCACCTTGGTTGGCCGACGAGTGGAGTGTGAGGACGCCGTGTTTTACGGGCATCTCGTAGAACAGCACAGTGAAGACGCCCTTCTTCATCTCTCCAGCGTACTCAGTGCCAAGAATGACCATTTCCTTTTCGGCAAAGTTGATGGCCACGGAAGTAGCCGAGGTCATTCCCTCGGTCCATCTGTTGGCGGGGAATGAACCAGCGTTGTAGATCACGTAGTCGGGGTGGAAAGACTTGAGCTCCTCGCGGGAGGGACGGATGAGCATGTTGCGCATGAACAGAGCATGGTATGCGCGAGCGCAGACAACTCTGACGCTGATTCTGTAACGCTCATCCCAGCCGGCAAAGCCATCAATGACATAAATTCGATTTCTTGTGTTGAGATAGTCGACAGCGCGTTCTCGGTTGATTCTCCATACCTAACGAATTAGGGGGAAATTAGTAAGCTGAAACTAGTCATTGACGTCATAGCATCGCCTGATTCCCCGGATCGACAACATTGGGTGCGGGGGGAAGAGGCAGCCAAGGGAATAGTGGAGCAATGGCAAGCCAAAGGGAAGAAGTAAAGCAGGAGAAGAGTGGTGGTAAATAATACAGGAAATTAAAGACATCCAGAGGGGGTGCATAAGAACAGAAGCAATGAAAAATGATCATGGTTATGTTTGCGTGAGAAAAAGCAAAGATAACAAAAAGTGGGTTTGATGCAGGGATATCTGCGTATGCCATCTGACGATGTTGACAGAGCACGCGAGCGACCACAACTTGATATAAACATGCAAAATTATGCAGCACTGCATCAAAAGAATATAAAAATGAAGAAGAAACGGACAATACATACATCTGGAGTCATTGGTTTGTTGACAGGACCCCACCAGATTTCATTCTCCGATGAAGGCTCCTTGACGATTCTCTTGTCGAGGGGAGACCGGCCAGTCTTCGCACCCGAGTAGGCAGTCAGGGCACCGCTGGAGGTGATGGCGGTGCCTGTTTCGTAGACGAGGGCATCTTCGTAGAGGGAAGCAACGGCAGGGTTGGCAATCTATTTGAATCGTGTTAATTAATTAAATAGGAATCGAGTATATTTAGATAATAATAATATACGAGAAGAGAAAGAAGTGGATGAACCAAGCGGACTTACAATCGAAACACGTTCGTAGTCGATGTGCGCAGTCTCGTGGAGTTCTTCTTCGAGCTCAGTGTGCCCCACACCAGGCCTGGAAACCGGAAAAAACGAGAGTTAGCGTCCTGCAGTTCTCATATCATAGACAAGCAATGACGAAGAGTTGAGAAATACACATACTTGACGCCACTGGGATGCAGGGCAGTCCGGTTCACAGAAGTGGCCAACATTGTTTTGAGGGAAGTTGACAGTGAGGATGAGTGGTAGTTGGAGTGAAGTTGCTTAGCCGCCTGCTGTCTGGCGAAATCTGAAGAATAAGAATCGAGGAGAGAAGACGTGTGAGAGCGAGGAGTGTTGCGAGAAAGGTTATGAGAAAGGTTATGAGAAGTTGGGGGGGGAGGAGAGGGTATATGAATGGCGGCACGAGTAACCGTGGGCAAGGGGCCGCCCGAAGCGGAACCGGAATCCATGCAGGCGAAGTACGGGACGAAGGGGAAGGCGAAAGGAACGAAAGGAACCCGGCGAAAACCAGGAGATGAAGAATCCGAAACTGGAGGCGGCGCTGTCGTAGTTGTCGTGGGGCCTCTCACGGGAAGTCTGAATTATGGTTGTAGCAGCAGCCAGGGAACGGTGGAGGCTATTGGACAAGCATAGAGCCCTCATGCTCTGGAGGTATAGGGGGGAGTGGGGAGGGGGAGGGGGAGGGGGAGGGGGAAGGGGGAAGGGGGTTGGTGGGGTTTGTTTGCGAGGTTGGATAGGCGTAAGATAGGGCTTGGAACAAGCTGGAGAATAGGCTTGATCGGGGGGGTCGGCTGCGGTGTCCTGGGCGGCGGGTGTCCTAGACTTAGTTGGTTTGGCTGGGAAAGGGGGCGGCTGCTAATGCGCACGATGTCATAGGCTGAGAGCTCCACTGCCGGCGGGATTTCCCGGAACAAGCCGGGCTGCACTTGGAAATTTGCCTGGGGGATGATTGCATCTTTGGCCCGGGTTGTCCCGACTTCTCCCGAGTCCATGACGAGCAGGGTTACATCATCATCATCATCATCATCACAAACATGTAACTAGTTGAACTCGTAAACTAACTAGAGAAGTAGTTAATTAGTTAAGCCAATTAATATCAAAACTAATTGCTTTGCAGTAACTAAATATGGACCGGTCTCTGAGCCTTGGATAACTAAGTTTCCCGCTGCTAAACCCCGCCTACAGAATACGATATCAAGAGACAGAGATATAGTTCATTAGTTCAACAGAGATATGGTGCATAGAGCATAGCACGTGCGCGGTTACATACAACCTCCCCATCCATTTTTACTGGTTTGTTGCTTTCTCAGCGACAGGTACCCCGTTATCGCGGTTGTCGTTAGGTCCTCGACGTACAATATATTCCGTCACCCAGATCAATCTCAGATCCAAATAGATCATCCCCTACCAACACGGCAATTCACGGCTATTTGCTGATTTGTCCCTTCTGCTGTCTGACCGTGCCAACCGCCAACGAGTAATTCCCTCTCATTCTAACAATTACACTTTTGCTTACCAGGGTTATATGAACCTTTCATGGGGTTGTTTTCAAACCAGGGCCAACTTTCATGGGAATTTGGGTCCCCAATTATAGAATCTCGGCCCCCATCTAGAGGCATGGGCAGGCGGGTTTGGAAGAAAATTCGGAAAAGGTTCTAGCGCAACGGAGATTACCAGATTATTATTGGATTGCCCTATTACCCCCCACTTCTGCTTTTCCGGTGAACTTTTTTTTATATATATATATATATTTTTTTTTATCATTTTTGCGCTTCCTCTTAGAGTTTTTCTTTTTTTACTTTTTTTTTTTTTTTATATATTTAATATATTTTTTAACCTTTTTTTCAATTTTCATTTTCGTTTTAATTTTTATTTATTTATCTATTTGTTTATAATTTTTGACCGCTAGTCGAATCTCAGCTGGCAACTCTTGCGATTCGAACCATGTATTCTGAAGCCCTGCCAGATTGTGTCCAAGTCCCAGCCAAGGAATTAACAGCCGTTGGTTCCCATTCTTTGACGGGGGGTTAAGCGGTAACTAGCCCTGCCGGGTCTGTCTCCAAATGTCACCCAGCCCATGATCTTTACTTCAACCTTCGTGGCTCTGAACAAGAGCCGTCCTTGCAAAATTTCCTGAAGAGGAACTTTCATCCGTCAGTCATTGCTTCAATAGAAGTAGTCGTATCCCTCTCCAGGTCAAGGGGCGGCATAACAACCCTTGCAGCTGAAATTAGCAGGCAGGAGACTGTGTGTCTGAAGTGTTGTAAATCAGCAGTTAAAGGAAAAGGCGCTTTTAGTCTATAGTCTAAAAGATATAACAGAGACGAGTGTCTTAACACTCTATCAGATATCTCAGGTAATTACTACCAAAGTACAAACCTTTCCCACTCATTTCAGGTATATCAAATACATATCATGTGCGCTGGACCATTATTCCCAACTTTCAGAACTCTGATAATTCTGATGTTTCAGGGCTGCTAGCTGAAGAAGTGTCCGGCTGGCAGCCACACTTTGGAAACAAAACAGAACTCGGAGAACCTGACGCAAGATGATGATGCTGATTGTATGGCAGTGCATTCCGCTGCTGTTAGCACTTTGCATGATTATTGATACCCATGGGGCATGATGGCTTCCGTCCGATTTAATTGCTCCTTTGACCATGTGACATTATCTGGGCTAAAAACAGTCAAACCTGTTTTGTTAACTAACTATTAGTTAGTTACCTATTTTCAAAATTGCTTAATCAGCTTAATCTCCCTCTTATCGCCAGCAGTAAATATACTAATTCGAAGGGATTAAAGGCATAATAGAAAGTGATGTAGTGGACCTTGCCCGTGGTCTGCAGCCACGACAGAAGATATGTCTGTCTTGAACATATTGTTTGAGCATGCGGGATCTCGCAGTGGCAGCTCAACTTGACGACGCCGGTGCACTGCACGAGTGCCCAATGGGGGTACGCCACGCATTGTTGCATTTCATCCTGAGAGCCTCTAGCGTCATCGAGAGTCTCGAAATAGTCAACACATCTCGCTCAACTTGGAGGACTGACCCAACATACAAAGGAAATGACTGAGCACTTGCCAATGAATATATGTCCCGTTGGTCCCACCGCAAACTAAAATAGCATAACAAATTAAAAGGGGGTTGTTCGGAATGGGATTGTCTGGCAAACTCTGAAAAATGCTAGCTCTGAAAATCCTCGTCACCTAAATTATGGGCCCTCAAGATCCAGAAACAGCAACGGCAGACGAACAGAGTCACCTGGAAAGAGAATTAGACTTCTTCAACCACTATGAACCAGCCACCACCGCATCAGTTGACGTCTTCGCCGTTCATGGCCTAAACGGCCACTGGGCAAAAACATGCACCCGCAGCTCGTCGTCTAACTCCAACTGGCTCCAACATTATCTGGGCCACGACATCCCCCCCAGAGCCCGCACATGCTGACCATGGACTACAACTAGCATGTCCTCAAAATCTCCGTTGGCAACATCAGCAAACTTCGCTGACCAGTTGCTCGTCTACCTATTATCACAACAGGAGCACGCAGGAGGAGCAAGATAGGTCGCTCATCTTCATATGCCACAGTGTGGGTGTCAAGCTGTCCATTATTTGCGGCCAGGAGGACCCCAATGTCGATGATATCTCCAAGCATGTGTATGGCAGTGTCTCCCTGGAGAAGCCGCACGACAACTCGATGAAATCGAAGAGGCTTGGCTCCGCTATCCGCGTCCAATGATGACGATAATAGTACACTTTGCAAATTTCCGATCCCTGGAAGATGAGAATTACATGATAGTCCCATACAAAATCCCAAACATGTCCAAAAGGACTACGGAGAGCAAGAGAAGCGCTCTGGTCAATAGCAACCAACCAATTGAAAAATTCACCAGCTCTTAAGTCTAACCAGCGTTCAGAAATACAATCAATGAGGGTAACAGTTGCCTATCCTTTGCTGAACAGAAGGTGTTCTGCCAAGCTCTGTAAATCTTCAACGACTCCCCGCATCGAGGTTGGATTGGTCGCTCAATCGGTGGAAGTGGGATCGGGTATACTGAAAATGCAGAGAGCTAACATCCACAATTCTCCTGACCAGCTGGTCTTACCCGACCTCAGAATAGGAATTCTCCAATGTTATGAACATCAAGCATTTTAGGATCCATGCGGGAGGAGGTTCTGTCCGGCCGAATGGAGGCGTCGACTTGATGATCCGGACTTGAGAGCTATAGAACTTGCAACTTTCAGACGTCCTAAAGCGCTGAATATTTCTGAGAAAGACGGCTCAATCGACAAAGTAACGCTGGAACTATCTATTGCCAAAACCATCAGGGTGCTGTGAGGCCTATTCCTGCAGATATCGGATAACCTGGCGTATTTTGTGTTTCATAAGGTAGCATATAATATTTCCCTGATTGCTCGAGGTAGATGAAGCACCAAACAAATGTGCAGCTGGTAGCAAAGGGCCCCGATACGCAATTTACATATATATATATATATAATACGACCAGTGCTTGACGCCGTCCGCCTAAGACATAGTCCTTTGCCACAGTTTTCTAAAACTACTGCATCCGAGATAGTATTCTTTGTTTGGGACTTCGCACAACTTGCTAGTGTTTGATGTCTAGTTTGCCCAAGGTCCAACTGAGCTAGCACTATTCCAGAACGGGTGGGAACAACCATTTTCCAGCTCTCCAAGACTGGAAACATCAACAGCTCCAACAAACCACCATTTTTCCACATCTTCATATCCACCAGCTCGATCTCTTTGCCCGCTTCCTACACCCCCTTCTCCCCACTCCCTTTCTCCGATTTCCCCGTTCTATATCCCCTCTCCCGCAGCCATGGGTTCCGATCTACAATACGCCAAATACCCCAACCTCTCCCTCGCCCAAGACATCTTCAATCTCTCCAACCCAGCATGTCCTCATACCGCCCAACAGGCTTCGCTGAAAAAGCTCCAATCTGCCATTTCGCAACATCAAATGGCCCCACTATACCGACATTTGGCCCATCCAATTGAGGGGATCTTGAACTCCCCAGGCGAAGGCACCACGCAACATGCATCTGCTCCAGGCAGTAAAGTCCTGGTCACGTCGAATCTCTTGTCGGGCCGGAAAGCACCGCAGAAGATAAGTTTACCGTGGGACGAGAAGCTGTACGACACACTGGTAGAGGAGAATAAGAAAGAACTGGCTGCTTTGCAAAAGGAAGAGGAAGACGCCGCTGAGGCTGCTGGGGATACAGAGGTACAAGCAGCTCGGGGAAAGCGAGCGGAGTTCTGGGCTCGAGTAGGTGATAAGGTAAGTTTTATTTTGTTTATTTAATTATCTGTTTCTTTTTCTGAAAGCGATATATATGAGATATATGGACGGACTGCTTGGTTTTAGAGGTCAATTTCTTTTTCATATCTAACTATGACGTGCGCAACAATTAGGACAAGGCAGTCGCGGCTTACGAAGCAGTCTTTGAGAAAACCGGCATCCTAGGCACAAAGATCGATCTGGTTCTGGCCATTATACGTATTGGATTATTCTACGGGGATAAACCATTCGTCAAGAAGCATATCGAGAGAGCTAACGCGCTAGTCGAGAGCGGCGGCGACTGGGATCGAAGGAATCGTCTAAAGGCTTACAAGGGCCTCCACTTGCTCACTGTCCGCTCATATAACCTGGCCGCTCCGCTCCTGCTTGACAGCCTGTCCACCTTCACCAGCTACGAACTATGCACTTACTCGTCCCTCGTTGTCTACTCTGTCCTCGCGGGTTCTCTTGCCCTGAAACGCCTTGACTTTAAAGCAAAAGTCGTCGACGCTCCTGAAATTAAAGCTATACTCGGAGAAGGTGAAGATAGGCTGTCTGCGCTGAGTGGCGCTATTTCGTCGGGGCCTGGTGCTGGAGATGAAGAGATGAAAGATATCGCCAGCGCGACTGCAGGCGGGCCGTCGACAGCTGTAAACTTGACGACCCTTGGCGCTGAAAGCGGATTGACTGTTGAGGAGGAGACACCCATGGACTTCTCCCCGCTCTCCAATCTCGTCAGCAGTCTGTACAACGGCATTTATCGCTCCTTTTTCCTTGCATTGGCGGACGTGGAGGACAATTTCCTTAGCCAAGACCGCTACCTTTACGAACACCGGGCATGGTTTGTGCGGGAGATGCGATTGCGCGGGTACCAGCAACTGCTGCAGAGCTACCGCGTGGTTGGCCTAAGCAGCATGGCGAATGACTTTGGCGTAACTATTGATTACCTTGACAAGTATGTCTGCCCGTTCGCTCTGAAGGGATTATTACTATATCCTTGAATTTATGTATTTTGATTTGCAGAATTGACGTGAATCCGGTGTTAGGGATCTTGCCAAATTCATCGCCGGCGACCGGATAGCATGCACGATCGACCGCGTCAATGGCATTATTGAGACCAACCGGCCTGATGACAAGAACAAGCAGTATGCTGATGTCGTTAAGCAGGGTGACGCTCTCATTACGAAGCTACAGAAGTATGGTCAGGCAGTGAGATTGCGGGGCAGTGAAAGGGGTTGATACAGCTGCTATATTGAGCTGCAAATGCGAGGTGAAGTGATTGGGTCGGTCGATGTTTAGTTAAATTATCCCATAAACATATTGTATCTTGACATTTTGCCTGGCCCTGCTGAGCCTTGCTTTGGACCACGGAATTTTTCTTATCTTTTCTTTTCTTTTCTTACGTTTTCTTTTTTTTTTTTTTCTTTTCTTTCTTTTTTTGTGAATTTTTTTTTCTCACCAGTTTTAGTTTCCTGGATTGAAACTAGAATTGACCGAATGGGCTTTTGGCATTTGAGCCATTGCGGTTAGACCATTGCTGTAACAACGTAACAGTGATTGGCTGAAAAAATGATAGACATGCAATCGGGAGCATCTCGGTTGGGGGATTTGATAGGCATCATCATAACAGCATGTATCTGCTGCTATGTCCCCAGACGGTTTTCTTCTCCGGGCAAACCCCAGACGGATCTTTCGAGGATAACCCCGGATTTGCGTGGTTGTTCCCCGGAGATTGACAGGTACCGCGCTAAAATTATCTCTTCTCTGATTGGACCAGGCATCCAACCGCCCAAATTTGGGGGGCCCCTTCCCAAAGTTTTGGGATGGTTGGTTGGCGGGAAGAACTGGCGAAGCTAACTAATATACGCGTATATCACGTGCGGTGAGGCGGCTACCGGGCAGTCATGCGCTAACATATCACCTGACCCCTCCACCCAATCGCTTGAAGTAGACAGAGTTTAATGTGGGACGTTCTGAAATGGTTGTATTGGTAGCCTATCTCGGGGATGCTATACTACTGTGCGGTGCGCTAGTCCATAATAGGAAATCTAGGCTCCAACAGTTACTGGATTTAAGGAACGGAATATGAATAATCCCACAGGGGTCACCTGATCTCTAACAGATGGCAAGTCCCAGTTGATTTGTAAGTAGAACCACCGATTTCGTTGTTAGGTGAGCCTATGGAATTATACTCGTCCTTAATCCTGTAACTGTAGACTTTGACGATTGAGCCTTTTTGCCAGGGTTATAAGTCATGCCAGTTGCGAAATAATGCCTTCCATCGCAAATGTACAAACTTTAGCAACAAAGTAAAATGGCCCTGCTCCCTCCGTTATCATTAAATCACTAGACATCCCAAGCAGAAATATGGCGTCGTCGTACGCCTCAATAGGATTGAATAAGCGATTTTGGTCTTGCGGTGTGCCAACGATAATTCCTCTGTCCCCGAACGGCGAAAGAATCTCTCGTATAGCTCTGCAAAGAGTTTTGGCAAAACTCAGATATTTGGGGGAACTCAGATGAAAAATATCCTCAAATCCATCTGCACCCATGTCGCTTCGCTTAAATCTTGCAGCATCCCTGTGGGAATCAGTGAACCACTCTTTCTCAGTAAACTGTTGCTCGGCGAAGAAAATTCAGTTGTTAGGATGCGTTCAAATCCACCAGTTCCTATGCCTTGTTTGGTATTTGTGATTTTCTCATGACTTCCGGCGCATCATTTGTGTACTATACTATATGTCCTGACCAGCCATGTAGCTGATCTAACTTCTGCATTGCTGTAATTTTTCCCAACCGTTGACCGGCACACTGCCAGATAAGGACGTAGAAGAACGACTCAAGATCATGTCGATATAGAGCAGCACCTCAATCGCTATGAACTCCATCGTGCCAGTCAGGTGCT